TTTTCTCATAGACTCAGAGGTTGTTTTTTTGTTACATTCATGCAATGCATTCATGCTACACACATACGTAATGTCTTACTATGCATTACTATGAGTCAATATAGAGGAAAATCTATATCAGGGGTCCTCAAACTTTTTAAACAGAGGGCCAGGTCACAGTCCCTCAAATTGTTGGAGGGCTGGATTATAATTTGGGGAAAAATGAATTAATTCCTATGCAAACTCCACATATCTTATTTGTAGTGCAAAAACATTTAAAACAATACCAATAACTAAAATGAATAACAATGTTAACAAATATAAACTTATTAGTATTTCAGTGGGAAATGTGGGCCTGCTTTTGGCTGATGAGATAGGGTTGTTGTTGTTGTGTGCTTTCAAGTCGTTTCAGGCTTAGGTTGATCCTGAGTGAGGGCTGGGTAAATGACCTTGGAGGGTCATATCTGGCCCCCGGGCCTTAGGTTGAGGACCCCTGATCTATATACTATATATTATGTATCTTTTCGGCACACCAGCCCTATGTGTCATGAAATATATGATGTACAATTGAATGGAATTGTATGAAAGATGAATGAATGAGAGCTAATAATTTTGGAGACACCATTCTGAAGACTAAGGCCTGGAGGACAGCTACACTCGGGGACTTTAATTAAAGATTGCCAAACTGCTGACATTAATAACCAGTGACAATGATTAACTGTTGAACTTTTGGGGAAAAACAACGTGTTTACATTGATAAGAGACAATACCTCTTTAAGTTAAGGAAATTCTTACAAGATTCCTTATGTTCAGAAGGAACTCAACACAAGCCTTGCATTTACCAACACCAATTAAGAAGAGTCAACATCTGTCCAGGAAGCGATGAAGCCAGGATGTTTCCAACTGGAAAAATATCTATCATTTATTTACAACTTTGGAACAACATCAGCAGAAAATTGTTATACAAGAGACCTTATTAAAATCCAAAAATAGTGATAGACAGTGGCTGTTCACCCCCCTCCCCCCATGCTCTGCTCCTTGGGAAAGAGAGAGATGGTGTATGTATTTGGGAGTGACAGATCTGCAATGGAACGTAGTCTGGTCACTTGTCTCCTTTTCTCAAGGGAAGAGAAATGAGTGTGATTTTGGAGTTTTGGATTTTGTGCAGGGACTCAGTTTCTGCTGTATGGAGAAAAGAGATCTGATCCTTGGCATTGTTTTTAGGGAAAGAGGATGCATTTTAGAATTTTAGAAGTTTTAGAGGTTTTGGAAATATTGAGAATCTGACTTAAGATATGTTCTTCTCCAGGAGATGACGGAGGAATGTATGCATGAAGACGAATATATGGATAATGTGAATGCTGAGTAAAAATGTAATTCCCCTTTGTTTGTTTGTTAGCCAGTGTAGGTTGTTTGTGCATTCAATGTAGTTGCATAGAATCTGCATGCCTGCATGTCAAATGTTGTTCCGTAAAAGTTTAAAAGTTCTGATATCCTTTCTCATACTGGAAAATCGCAATAAAAAGAATAAATAAACTTTATTTATACCCCGCCACCATCTCCCCGACAGGGACTCAGGGCGGCTTACATGAGGCCAAGCCCAGACAACATATTACAGCAAAATAAAACCAAAACATAAGCAACAAGCAAAAACATCATAAGTACATAAGAACATATGCTTTAAAGTTATTTAAAAGTTATTCATAACATATATACATTAAGAGGTTAAAAATCAGTTTTAGTACAACCTTGCAAACTCAGAAATAAGACATACTGAGGTGTTGTGTGGTTTCTGGGCTGTATGTTCTAGATTCTCTGAGGATGCCAGGCGCAGGCAAAAAGTCAGGAGAAAATGCTGCTAGAACACAGCAATTCAGCCCGGAAACCACACCACACTCCAGTGATTCCAGACATGAAAGTCTTCGTCGAGACATTAAGGCGTATTGAATTTAGGTGGAATTATTTCTAGTCAGTTTGTACCTTTCCAAATGGGATAGGACTGCAACTCTCATTACTGGTCATGGCAGTAGGAGCCGATGGGAATTGTGATCCTGCAGATGTTAGAACGTAAAATTACTCATTAATATGAAGAAGTAAAGCTTCACGCAGCATGCAAACACCACTTAGTCTCTTTTATTATTATTATGAGCATTTATTAAAGGCCCCTTCTACACAGCTGAATAAAATCCCACATTATCTGCTTCAAACTGGGATATATGACAGTGTGTATTCAGATAACCCAGTTCAAAGCAGATATTGTGGGTTATTCTGCCTTCATAGTCTGGGTTATATGGGTGTGTGGAAGGGCCCTTAAAAGACAGGATCTTGGTGTATTCCTGTAATAGTAAAAATTCAATAATCAGAATGAGGAAAGCAGAATTAGTATTATTCAGAGCAACAGTTATCTTAAATCTGTTTTAACTCAAGACATAAAAATAACGATAGCACCTTTAAGATCTAGTTATGGGCATCTGATTAAATATGCTAAGTCCATGAAAGTTTATGGCAGAAATTTCTTCATCCCTCTTAATCTACAAGGTACTTTTGGATTTCTTTGTTTTTTTTCAAGTTTCTAGGACTGAAAGTTTGGAATCCAAGCTCTATGAGGAGCTATGAGAACTGGGTATGTTAGATAGAGGAAAGAAGGCTGGTCTGGAGGCTAGGGCCCCATCTATATTGACATCTTTGGCCCCTTCCATACAGCTGTACAAAATCCACATTGAACTGGATTATATTTATTTATTTATTTATTTAAACTATTTGTACCCCGCCCTTCTCAACCCCCCCCCCCGGGGGGGGGGGGGGCGGCTTACATCCAGCACAATTCGATGCCATTACATATAAATAATACATACAGTAATTACATATAAGAGCACAGTAAATTAATTTTAAAATTAGTTTTAAAATAAAAATTACATTAATAAAAGTGCAATAATACTGGCTGTCTAGCCAGATGTAGAAACGAATTCAGCGAGCATAACATAATCGGAAACCTGTCTATAGTCCATTTTCCATAACATTATCATTATTGCCATTTTCAAGTATCTGCCAGCTACCCATAACCACATTTTCAATTTCCTCCTGGAGGTGAGGAAGATGTTGTTGACCTGATTTAGCTGGGGAGTTCCACAGGCGGGGGCCACCACCGAGAAGGCCCTGTCCCTCGTTCCCGCCAAGCGGGACTGAGAGCAGGTCTTCCCCAGAAGATCTTAAACTTCGAGGTGGGACGTAGAGGGAGATGCGTTCGGACAGGTAAGCTGGGCTGGAGCCATATAGGGCTTTATAGGTAAAAACCAGCACTTTGAATTATGCTCGGAATTGGACCAACAGTATAGACTCAACCCTGGGTATATGGCTGTATAGAAGGGACCCTAGTTTCCAGATTTTTTTTTAGATTTCATTTCCCAGAATTCCTGACCATTGGCCATACTAGCTGGGGTTTCTGGGAGCTGAAATCCAAGCGACATGTTGGACCAGGGGTTGGGGAGCAATGGTAAAGAGGGAACGTGCCATGCGCAAAGAGGAGTCGACCAACAGTCGTGGTAGATTTACTTATCATGTCAGGAGCAGACCAAACAGTTGTACAAACAAACAAACAAAACACAAAGTTTGCAAGCTTGGTAGTTGATTAAATGTCCTTTGACCAGCAGCTGGCCACTTGGAGTGCTTCTGGTGTTGCTGCAAGAAGGTCCTCCATCGTGCATGTGGCAGGGCTCAGATTGCATTGCAGCAGGTGGTCTGTAGTTTGCTCTTTTCCACACTCTCATGTCGTGGATTTCCACTTTGTAGCCCCATTTCTGAAGGTTGGCTCTGCATCTCGTGGTGCCAGGGCGCAGTCAGTTCAGCGCCTTCCAAGTCACCAAGTTTTCTGTGTGCCCTGGAGGGAGTCTCTCATTTGGTATCGGCCAAATGATTAAGGTTCTGGGTTTGAGCCTGCCACTTTTGGACTCTCACTTGCTGAGGTGTTCCAGCAAGTGTTTCTGTAGGTCTTAGAAAACTATTTCTTGGTTTAAGTCGTTAACGTGCTGGCTGATATTTATTTATTTACTTGGAGTGCTTCTACCCCGCCCTTCTCAACCCCCTAGGGGGGACTCAGGGCGGCTTACAAAAGGCACAATTCGATGCCCAACAATTCACAAAACACAATATACAAATTACAGTAAAATGTCAACAATTATGATTAATTAAAAACGGGATGGGCTGGAGATGTCACTGCCTTGGTCCTTTGCTATTGGCTGCTGTTTCCCGGTGGATGTCAGGTGGTGCAATACCGGCTAAGCAGTGTAATTTCTCCAGTGGTGTAGGGCGCAGACACCCCGTGATAATGCATGTCTCATTAAGAGCCACATCCACTGTTTTAGTGTGGTGAGATGTGTTCCACACTGGGCATGCGTACTCAGCAGCAGAGTAGCATATCACAAGGGCAGATGTCTTCACTGTGTCTGGTTGTGATCCCCAGGTTGTGCCAGTCAGCTTTCGTATGATGTTGTTTCTAGCACCCACTTTTTGCTTGATGTTCAGGCAGTGCTTCTTGTAGGTCAGAGCACGGTCCAGAGTGACTCCCAGGTATTTGGGTGCGCTGCAATGCTCCAGTGGGATTCCTTCCCAGGTAATCCTCAGAGCTTGGGATGCTTGTCTGTTCTTAAGGTGAAAAGCACATGCTGTGTTTTAGATGGGTTAGGGACCAGCTGGTTTTCCCTGTAATAGGCAGTAAGAGCACTTAGACCTTCGGAGAGCTTCTGTTCAACTGTCTCAAAGCTCCCTGCTTGAGTGGTGATGGCACGATCATCAGTCATGCTAGATAAACCCAGCGGATTCGGGGAAAAAACGTAATGTCTCTTTAAGGAGCCGCCTCCTACTGCGCATGCGTGTGTTTCTCTGCAGAAGGATGCACTAAACCTGACGGACAGAGGTTGCACTTCTCGCTAAACACCGCTAGGTGGCGCCATAATACTCAAGCGCCGAGGAGTAGCGAAAGCTGGAAGGAGATCCATTTCCTTCCAAGGACACGACGTGTCTCCGGCCGGAAAGCAACGCCGGAAATGATGTCACAGGAAGTTGCTTTCTGTGTCTCAAAGCTGCGGCAAGGCCTGAGTGAAGGCCAGCTGGACGGCGCAGGGAGGGGCTGAGGGAGGCTCCGGAAAAGCGCGCCATGAGCGGAGGGTCGGGGGAGCCTCCTGCCGAGGCCCCGCCCGCGACCGAAGGGGGCGTCCGAATCGTGGTGGAATACTGGTGAGGGGAGGGGAAAAATATAGCGTGGCCCCGCCCCTTCTGCCTTAGGCCCCGCCCATTTCGCTCAAGCCTCGCCGGGGTTTTTTCTTCGCGGGCCCGACCGCATTCTTTCTCTCCTTTTACTGCCTCATCACACTAGAGCACTGTTTCTCAACCTGGGGTCAAGACCCCTAGAGGGGTTGCAAGGGAGTGTCAGAGGGGGCAGCAAATACCATCAGAAAGCACAGTATTTTCTGTTGGTCATGTATGGGAAGTTTGGCCCAATTCTGTTGTTGGTGAGGTTCAGAGTGCTCTTTCATTGTAGGTGAACTATAAATCCCAGCAACTACAACTCCCAAATGTCAATGTCTATTTCCCCCAAACTCCACCAGTGTTCACATCAGGGCATATCGTGTATCCGTGCCAAGTTTGGTCCAGATCCATCATTGAGTCCTCAGTGCTCTCTGGATGTAGGTGAACTACAATTCCAAAATTCAAGGTCAATGCCCACCAAAGCCTTCCAGTGTTTTTTGTTGATTATGGGAGATCTGTGTGCCAAGTTTGGTTTAATTCCACCGTTGGTAGAGTTCAGAATGCTCTTTGATTGTAGGTTAACTATAAATTCCCAAATGACAAAATCAATCCCACCCCACCAGTATTCAAATTTGGGCGTATTTGGTATTTCTGCCAAATTTGGTCCAGTGAATGAAAATACATTCCGGATATCAGATATTTACATTGTGCAGGTTATCATGGGGTTCTGTGTGGGAAGTTTGACCCAATTCTGTTGTTGGTGAGGTTCAGAGTGCTCTTTCATTGTAGGTGAACTATAAATCCCAGCAACTACAACTCCCAAATGTCAAGGTCTGTTTTTCCCAAACATTTGGGCATATTGAGTATTCATGCCAAGTTTGGTCCAGATCCATCATTGTTTGAGTCCTCAGTGCTCTCTGGATGTAGGTGAATTACAACTTCAAAATTCAAGGTCAATGCCCACCAAACCCTTCTAGTATTTTCTGTTTGTTATGGTAGGGGTCAGAGTGTTCTTTCATTGTAGGTGAACTAGAAGTCCCAGCAGCTACAACTCCCAAATGTTGATGCCTATTTTCCCCAAACTCCACCAGTGTTCACATCTGGGCATATTGAATATTTGTGCCAAGTTTGCTCCAGATCTATCATGGTTTGAGTCTACAGTGCTCTCTGGATGTAGGTGAACTATAACTCTAAAACTCTAGGTCGATGCCCACCAAACCCAGTATTTTCCGTTGGTTATGGGAGTTCTGTATGCCAAGTTTGGTTCAATTCCATCGTTCATAGAGTTCAGAATGCTCTTTGGTTGTAGGTAAGCTGTAGATCTCAGCAACTACAACTCCCAAATGACAAAATCGATCCCCACACCAACCTCACCAGTATTCAAATTTGGGCATATCAAGTATTTGTGCCAAATTTGACCGGTGAATGAAAATACGTCTTGCATATCTGTATTAAATGGTCACGGCATTCGGAAGGTTGAGAAACATTGCACTAAAGAATGAATCCACTTTAAATCTAGATTCTGCCTCCTGGGATTTGTAGTTTAGTGAGGTTGTTAAAGGTTCCTCCCTAAACAACAAACCCCAGAATTCTGCAGAAGGCAGCAACCAGATTTAAAGTGGATTCATTCTCTAGTGCAATGCTTCTCAACCTTGGACCACCAGATGTTTTTGGCCTACAACTCCCAGAAATCCCAGCCAGTTTACCAGCTGTTAGGATTTCTGGGAATTGTAGGCCAAAAACATCTAGGGACCCCAGGTTGAGAACTACTGCTCTAGAGTGACAAGGTCCTAAGGGTGCATTCCTACATTTTGAGACCACTCAGTGCTGTGGAGTCATGGATGTTTTAGTTCGGTGAGGCACCATCATTCTTTGGCAGAGTCTTTACTTTAGAAACTACATTGTCGTTTTCTAGGCATATCTGAAACATAAAAATGATTTTTAAAGTTATTTAGATCTGTAGAATTAATGCAGTTTGACGCCATTTTGGCTGCCATGGCTCTGTGCTATGGAATCATGGGACTTGTAGTTTGACAAGGTCTGCAGCCTTCTCTAGCAAAACAACAGTGATGCCTCACCAAACTATAAATCCCATTGATCAATAGCACCGAGGCACAGGATTTTAAATTATCAGATGACATGAATTCTATATAATGTCGGAGGCTTTCATGGCTGGAATCACTGGGTTGTTGTAGGTTTTTTCAGCCTATATAGCCATGTTCTAGAGCAGGGGTCCTCAAACTTTTTAAACAGAGGGCCAGGTGACAATCCATTAAACGGTCCAAGGGCTAGATTATAATTTGAAAAAAACAATGCAATAATTAAAATTAAGAACAATTTTAACAAATATAAACTTACTCATATTTCAATGGGAAATGTGGGCCTACTTTTGGCTGATGAGATAGGATTGTTGTTATTGTTGTTGTGTGCTTTCAAGTTGTTTCAGACTTAGGTTGACCCTGAGCGAGGCCGGATAAATTACTTTGGAGGGCTGCATCCGGCCCTCGGGCCTTAGTTTGAGGACCCCTGTTCTAGAGGCCTTCTCTCCTGATGTTTTGGGGGCATCAATGGCAAGCATCCTCAGAGGTAGTGACTCACTATTTCTGAGGACACTTGCCATAGATGCAGGCGAAACATCAGGAAAGAATGCCTCTAGAACATGGCCATATAGCCCGAAAAAAACCTACAACAACCCAATGAATTCTATAGTTTAAATAAGTGGTTCCCAACCTTTTTTTGACCAGGGACCACTTTGACCAGGGACTACTCTCCAACATTAGTACCAAAAGGGTTACGAATCAATTTTTGGTCAACTTTGGATTCGGTTTGGTTATTTGGGGTGCTGATTCAGAAAATTGCATTAGATAGACCACATCAGCTCTAGTTTCTGGTACAAAACATGTGCCGTCCACTAGTTGCCATCTGCTCGCACACAGAAAACCATATCTAATAATCTAGAGGTGATGTGGTCTATCCAATGCAATTTTCGGAACCAGCACCCCAAATAATCCCAGGAACAGGCCTAAAAACGAAGACACCAAGGTGCCTCAGCTTCCAGGTGCCACATGGCTGCACTCGAGAATGGCTGGGGAGGAGAAGCAGCAGTCAGGAGGCTTCTTGTTCCTTTTGTGGGTAGTCAGCTTCGGCACTATAAGAGGGTTTCGCGAGACCAGTCACTCTTGTTGCAACGGTGTATTAATGGTGAGGATGTGGACCATATTTTAGTTCTTGGGGACTACGGGTGGTACATGGACCACAGGTTGGGAACCACTGGTTTAGATGCACCTTCAGATATCCCATTATGTATGTGGAAGTTTTGTAAAATTGGAAAAATCCAACATATGGAATCAATTTTGGATAAGGGATATGCAACCTGTAATGGAGAAGACCTCCCGAGTCCCGTCTCGTAATTTGGGGCAACTTTTTATTCTATGTCCAGATTTTTTCCCTTAGTAAATAAGGGTCAGTGCTTTGTAGATTTAATGTGTAGGAAATTGTATGAGATATTGTGTCATATCGGAAATGATATCTGCCTTATTAGAAGAAGACTGAACCCGCTCCTACACTGTGCTATATCCCAGGATCCGATCCCAGATTATCTGCTTTGAACTGGATTGTATGAGTCTCCACTGCTAGATAATCTAGGATAAGAAGATAATCTGGGATTAGATTCTGGGATATAGCACAGTGTAGAAGTGGCTTAAGGAAACTGATGGCTGAGTTGTGGACAAATGACAGATTTTGAATGGCTTGTCCTTTTGCTCCTTTTCCCAAAGACTTTACTTCTTCAAGATGAGAAGATAAAAACCTGACACTTGTGTTGATACTACAGCAGAGGTTTCATACTAATTTTCATCAAGAGCCACAACAGCCTTATAGTTGCCTTCAAATGGGCATTGGATCTATGGATGGAGAATTCGTGGATAAAAGGAAACAGCTATAATTTTTTCACATAGTGATCAATGTTGGCCTTGAGTTTCACTCGGTTTGGGGTGGGAAGTGCTTCCTTGAGTTCTCAACTGATCTGGAACATTCAGCATCGAGCAAACCACTGGCAGTCTTCACTTCTCGGACTGAGGGCTGCTCTTCCCATCAGAGCAGAACCCAAGAAAAAGAAGAACGTGGATCCAAAGAGAGAACTTGCCATAAGGGACCGGATGAAGAAGAAGATTAAAAAATTGGAAAAGGCTCCTCAGGAATTGATTCCCATTGAAGATTTTATAACACCATTCCGATTCATGGATGAAACAAAAGTGCGAGCCATCTCTCTTCTGCCCTTTGAGGAGAGTGAAAGACGAGCATTGCTTTTGAAGAAGTGGGCAGTATATAAGCAAGCACAGCACAAGGCAGAGATGGAGGCAGCCAGGTCCCTAGTGGAGGCCCAAGAAGAGGCCTTAAAAGAACTGCGTCTCAAATCGGAGGAGCTGTATCAGGCAGCTATTCGGCGGGATGAATGGCTGTTCCCTTTTGAGAGGCAGGAGCTGACCCACACACCGCCAGTGCCGAAGTAGCTCTCAAAGGGAGGTGCCATGACATCACTAAAGTTTATAGCCAATGACACCAAAGGTTGCCACGGGACTGCCAGAAGATGCTCCATTTGATAAATAAATATAATCATAGTAGACTGGAAAGCAATCTGTTCTCCCACTGGTTCTGAATAAGGCAAATCATGCCTGAAGCAAAAAAATAAAATAAAATAAAGCTGAAGGGGGTTGTATCATTGTATCTTTTTTGGAGTGGGATATATTCTAGATACCAGCAGTCCCATTATTTCTGGACAAAGCGTGAGCTAAAACAGTACCCAACCCTCGATAATTTCCTTCCTGGCTCATGGATATCAGTGTGGGATCCTATCATGTTTGGGTTTTGTGATTTCCTTCAGGACAATTTGAGTCTGAAATGTTGAAGGGGCTCCTGGTCAAGAGCTCTGCAGAGCAGCTCTCGCTCCCCCATCCACTTGTGGCCCAACATTGTTCCCTGCTAACACTTTGATGTCTGCACATTCTGAAGGTCCCATATGTTGTTCTCAATGTCCCACACAGCTACTTTCCTTGGTGTTGTGGCCCAGAACCCATCATCCACACAGTGCTCCATGGAAATTGAACTACTGGGCCAACATTTATGCAAGTCAGACCTAACAGGTTTGATGTAGATCCAATTAGTAAGCAGGATCAACTACTGTCCCAGCCCACTACTCAGCAAAGAAGTTGGAGTCGACATTATCCAAACTTCTCATCACTGTTCTGCAAAACTTATCTGAAAGTTTACAGAACAGTAGAATGCAATCCAAGGGAGGAGTAACATTTGCACCCGAAGTCACTTCTGCAATAAGTTGCATCTGAATGGAAGAGCAAATGGTGGAACAGATACTACGGATGCATCGTGCCTTGAATGCCTTGATGTCCTTGTAAACACTCTGGAGGGGACTGCTGTGAAACTACTGGATTTACTGGAAGTGGAGACATTACCTGACATAGTGGTCAGTGCTCTTTAGTTGTTATTGAACGACTACACCCATCTCTTTTAATTACCCACCATGCAGTCTGGGAATAATGGGAGTTACAGCCTAACAGCAGTTGTGGCTCTGAAGTTGGGGAAGGGTTAAAGGGCATTTTTAAGTCAGACATATTATCTGCAAGTCTTGTATCTAAATTCAAACTCAACTGTCCTACCTAAACAGAATAAACTGCAGCCTTGCAGATGTTACTGAATCACAATTCCCATTAGCTCTGGTCATGATAGGGAATATAGGAATTATAGTCCAGCAGCTGGTGGGCACCATAAAATGATGTGGTGTCCTGTATTTGGCCCATGGATCTTGAGTTTAACATGTACTACATGTTGAGTATCCTTTATCCAAAATTCTTGGTACCAGAAGTATTCTGTATTTTGGATTCTGTTCAGATTTTGGATTACCTATGTTTTTTATATCAATTCATAATGAGGTCTCTTGGAGATGAGCCCGAAGTTTAGGCATGAAATTAATCTACGTTTCGTTTACACCTTATACCCGCTACCTGATTGCAGTGTTTTAAGTAATTTTCTCCATGAAGCAAAGTTTCTGTGTATTGCCCCATTAGAATATGAAGGGCCACCTATGTGTTTTGGGATATTTAAAATTTTGGGATTCTGGATAAGCGATGCTCAACCTATATTTTCCTTAGAATATCTAATGTTGGCATGTAAACACTGATTCCACAGAATGAGAGTTGTCTCAAATTACACATAATGCATTTTGACAAATTAATAAAGACTGATCTCATGGACAGTTCACTGTGTGTCTACTGTAACAAAAAACAATAGACAGTATAGTCACATTATGTGGTTTTGCTCCACTAGTTCTCTATTGAAAATTACAAATTTTCGTTGTCATGTTCAGCTTCCTTTTGACAATCTGACAAACTTTCTTTTCCCAGCAAGCCATGTGGCTTTGAATCTGCCTATCTAGAACTGGCTAACGCAGTCAAAGAAGAATATCCAGATGTGGAGATTGATTCCCGACTTGGAGGAACAGGTAGGTTCTCATGTAAACTTCCATGCTGATAACACTATGTAACAAAGTTTGATTTTTTTTTCTGTTCCTAGTTTGAAGGTGTTAACTGTTTAACTGTGCAGTACTTACTTTGAAAGTAGTTTTTATACTCCAGAAGCTTTGTTTTTGTGGCTACCACAAACTCTGTTGAATTGGTTGAGACTCTATGAGATATTAATAGAAAACTATAGAAAAATGTGCTTTAGGTTGTCCCACAAAAACAAAGTCTTGCAGTTTAATAAACCTTTTCTATGTTTTTATGATAGAACCAATTAGGAAATAATATTTATAACCCAGGAACAAAAATCATGTTACGAAGGGCCCTTCCTTACAAATGCCTTATATCGCAGGATATGATCCCAGGTTTTTTGCTTTAAACTGGATTACATGAGTCAGCACTGCCAGATAATCTGGGATAAACAAAAAACCTGGGTTCACATCCTGGGATATAGGGCCTGTCTGGAAGGGCCCATAGTGTAATAGTAGCAATTAGCAAAACCATGTTTATAGTGTAATGAAGGAAGAGCATTTAGTATTGCTGTAAAGGTGATAGAATTGTGAAGCATATCACGGGGTGGAAACTACTGGCTTTACATCTCACCCTGCCATCTTCTCATTTCATGCTAGGTTTCTTTTTTCCCTTACAGGTGCATTTGAAATAGAAATAAATGGACAGCTTGTCTTTTCCAAACTTGAGAATGGAGGATTCCCTTATGAAAAAGATGTGAGTTCTTCCTCTGCACGCTGCATGCAGCCTCTTTGAGATGATTCCTGCAATTCTGAGATGTATCTCATTATTGATTTTTTTCTAAAATGAAGCAAAATTGCATCTCCCAAATTCAGTAAGATTGCAGCATCTCCGTCTCATCTTTAAAATATTCATAAAATAATCGTAATTATCAGTAGATGACAGCTTTTGTCTGAAGAATTGCTGCATGTGAATATTGTAAGTGTTCTGTTGACAGTTTAAAAAGGAGATGCTCAATACATTGAATGTAAATTGCTTGCATTATTGTCTGAGCTTCTTTGTAAGTGTCTCTTAAATTAGATAAGAGCCAGTGTGGTCTAGTAGTTTGAGTGTCAGACAACAATTCAGGAGTCTAGAGTTTGATTCCCTGTTCAGCCATGAAAACCTACTGAATGAATCATACACTTTCAGCCCCAGAAAACCATCAGTTGTGTATGACTTGAAGGCATGAAACAAGATAAGAATAGCCTATCATTTAAGAGAAAAAATACATCAACAAGTATATAAAAGATTTTTAAAAGTCCAAAAACAATTCTTTAAATTCTGGATGCACCAGCTAAAATTGGCCTTTATCATTATGCAATTATAGGTGACTGATCTACTTCTGATTCACGTCTCTGGTTATAATGTATTTGTGGGTTTTGGAATGGGAAAGCTGCCTGTTATATTTAACTTGCTTATTATTTTGTATGATAAAATCGTTATTACACTTCAGGCATCTTTTGAAACCCCAAATAATTACTAAGATTATATTAAGAGGATGCTCTTATGATTAAATCACTTTTTTGGTTGTCTTCATGTCACTTTGGATTTATGACAACCCTAAGGTGAGCCTATCAAAATATTTTCGTGGCAGTGGTCGTTAGTTTTGCCTTCCTCTGAGAAAATGTGACTAAGATCCCCCAGTGGGTTTCCATTGCCTAATACATCTTTGAAACTGTTGCCTTCACAGTCAACTCTCAAACCACTTTGTTCACTAGCAGAGAGCGAGCCTGTATCACAGGAATTCACACTTACCGTTTCCTCTCTTCCAGCTCATTGAAGCTATCCGCAAGGCTATTAATGGGGAGCCACTTGAGAAGATCACCAAGAGCCGACCTCCGTGCGTCATCCTTTAGTTTCTGTCTCCACATCTTTCAGTCCTCTACATACCCGACACCTATAATCCTGGCCATTCTTGCCTCTACCTCTTGACTGCAGATCCATATGCCTTGCTAGGTTTGATGAAGGGGGAAGGGAGTTGCTGAAGTGAAATAAACATGATGTGGAGTTGCCTGCACATAATACCTTATAATAAATACCTGAGCCACTTTGGGGAAGGGGGAGCATGAGGATCTAGAGTGCTTGCTAAACAAGCTAGCTCAATCAGCCTTTTTTCAAAAGGAAAATAGTTTCAAAACATGCCACCTCTCATTGCTAAAGACCAGAATGGATTTTGTTTTGATTACTGTTTTTGCCTGCATCCGTATGCACAAGAGTGAAGTAGCCCCACCAATCTGATCAGAATTAGATCCTCTTTATTTCTTCTGACTTCTATGATTCATTCAGAGATCAGCTGTTTCCTTCCTCCCTTGCGTTTCACATTCCTCTAATTAGGAGCCAGTATAAGCTAGTGTCTCATCTTGCCCCCTCTATAAAACCGGAAGTGCTTGTGCAGCGCTAAGAAGTCTATATGGACTGATGCCACAGAAGAAGCCCCCAGCTTAGTCATGATCATCGGTGTCCTTTTAGTTAGCGTTCCCACTTTTTTGCCCTTCATGTGGGGTGTGATAAAAGTTTAACATAGCTCTGCTGAAGCTATATATATATATATGTATATATATATATATATATATATTCATGTCCCACACAATTGCCCAATTTTGGCTTTGAAAAGGAGAATAGTAGCTCAGCTGAAAGGTTTATCACTTTTAATTGTGAAGTCCTTCCCAGGTAGCCAGTGCCATCTATTTTCTACATCAAGTCCTGTTTCCTTCTTGTCAGGACTTTCTGTAGACATTCCAATGTAGATCTCTCCAACTAGACCAACCTTTTGAGGAAAAGAGAGGAGGAACCTGGATACATAAATTTTGATAGGACTCATACAATTTTAACAACCTGCCAGTTACATATTTGGAATTTCCTGCTGCTTAAAACATTATCTGCAGATACATTGACTGGTGTTGATCAAATTAACCACACATGCTATTATACTGCAGTCATTGTTAACACTTTTTTTAAATCCTCGGGTTACTATGCTGCCAGTGAAGCATTTCCAAGGCCCATAGGTGTCAATAGTTAAAAAGATTCAATTGTAATTGGTGGAAATTCATGCATTAAATGTTGACTTGCGCACATTACCTAAAAAAAAAAAACCATGGGCAAAACACTTTGATGTCTTTGTTTAGCCTGAGACTAGTAAGTAGATACACATTGCTTTCCTGTAATGCAAACCAATGCAATGGCTTCACTGTACTGTTATGTTTCCTGACCAATGGATTTGGCAACTAATGACACAGAGTTAGGTGGGAAAGCATCAAATACAATAGCTCCATGTCCCCCATTTCATTTTGTGTGAGAGAGAAAGCTATGCATATATATCTGCCTAATATGTCTCAATCCTCTTTTGTGCCTACCCCCTGTTTCAATACTTCGGGGTTTTATCATAGAGTTTTCTATTTGTCCCTTTGAAACCTTGGTACATCTCCTACCATTGTAAGAAATGTTGCTGCTAAAACATTCTGAAGATGCTTGGCCCTTGTTGAGAGCAGAAGGTGAAAAAATAGCCAATACCGTTCCTCCTCAGTGTCTTAATTTATGTGTTGAGAATGTTGTATAATCCAATTTATATAAAGAGACAAGTTAAACCTTTGTAGTGAATTATGTCTATGTGTGGACTGGTTGGGAGAAGAGCAGCTAATAGTGTTTGGGGTAGTTGCTGGAAGGAAGAGGTGCAAAGGTGCCATGTTAGAGGGAGGGAGGGGCATTAGGCAAAATTCTCAGCCAAATCTAAAGGCCATCCCGTGTATAGAAAGTAAAACAGTGTATTTTAAGGGTATCTAGATACTTCAGTTTTGCATAACTGTAGCAGCTATAGCTTAGCAACACTGTCAACTTAGGCTGCTTGCCCCCATCTATTTCATTTGTTCAGCTACTCAGCTTTTTAACCAATGGAGTTTGCACCATTAGTATCTGCTTAGTTCATCAGCTGTTTTGTAGTCAAAAGGGTTTGGTGTAGAACCAGCAGAATGTGATGGGAGATCCCACTGATGTTAAAAACCCGGAAGATTGAGAGGTGCCCGGCCTTCTAAGATTACTTTACCAAATGATGGGAAAGGGCTGGTACCTTAGAAACAATTGATCTATACACTACTTAACATGTTGATTTCCTTAACTAGAGCAGTTGTGGTTTCTATCCACTACCACCTTTTTGTGTGTGTGGATGAGAGAATTTTGGCAGTGACTAGACATTTAGTCTTTTAGTTGACATGCACAGCAATGACCCCTTTTGCCTGTAATATGGGGTGACCTCTCAATCCCACTGCTACAGATTGCTGCTGCTCCCTCTCTCCAGTTATCTGTATTTTCTTCTTTGGTTGCAATTATCTGCTGTATCTTTAATCATCTTCATACTTTTACTGGAGAAATACGATGGGAAAGAACTTGGGTAAAATTGGGATAACTAATGAGGTCAACATTTACCTAAAGTTTGTGTGACTGCTCGGGAGATTTGTAACACAGACTGTCACTATCACTCTCCTCAAAGCAATAATCTTTGTCAAAAAGATACTGACTTTTGATGTCCTTTAGGGTTTGCACCTTCTATCCACCTTGGAATAGCAAGCTTGACAGACCCTGCAAACATGTCACAAGCCAGATGTATGAGGAAAAGTGTCCACTCTAGTATATTATATCATGCTATGCTAATAATATAATATAATGTAATGTAATATATTGTATATACATATATAATATTATAATATAATGCAATATAATAATGTTATTATAATTATATATTTATATTGCATGTAATAATACTAATAATATTACAATATAATGTTATAATAAAATATAGTAATATTTAATACTGATATTGTACTATACTAATAACATAATATATTGTATGTATATATATATCTTGTAAGCCACTCTGAATCCCCTTCAGGGTGAGAATGGCGGCATATAAATGTCGTAAATAAATAAATATGTTACATCACATTACAAAACACAATGACATTCAACTGCCAGGCTTTCTTTTTGTTAAGACTGATACAAAAGGTAAGCAAGGCCACAGGGATTTAGGAGTATAGGTTGTTAATGGTGAGAGTGTTCTGGTCTTAGAAGCTTTCACCTCACTTTAATTTGTAAAATAAAGTTATCAGTTTCTCCTGTCTAGATCTGTTCCGTAGACAGGATGTAGAATGTTTATCTTTTCTTTTTGAGAGGAGGTGTCAACAAATGTTTGCCCCAGAAAAAATACTCAGGAAAAATAGTATAGAAAATGAAAACCATTGTATAATTCTCAGATATACAAATACTTATTACACAATTGATTGCTTTGAAGTCATCCACAGCAGATAACCTTCACTGTACCAAAATAGCACCAACTTGAAAACACAGGTTTTAGAGGGAAATTTGATGGCTCCCCACAACCCATCATGCCCAAAATTGACTGTGTTTTAATTCTGCCTTGTGTTATTTACAGAATTTCCATAGATGATGCTAAAAGTACTATTTGCAGTTCCCACATAATTGAACACACAGAACAAGCCATTTTAATCACAATTACATACAGAACTGCCTTCAAAGAACAGGTTGTTTTAGAGTTTTTGGAATCGTGCGACTAAGAAAAGATCCAAAAAAGGAAAAGAACGCTGGTCAAAGTTTTCAAAGAAAGGCACTGTGGTGTTTTCATTGCTTACCACCCCACGTAGCATCACAGGTCATTTTTTCCTACTTTTAAAGGAACATAACGTTCTACTACAGACCACTTACTTTCCAGTAGAGCTGCCTCTACTGGGAGGAAGTCAATACATACAAAATTACAATGGACAAGAAAGATTGATCTTTTCTCTAAAGCCAACACCAATCTTTCCTAACACTTGCTTTTGCAGTTATTCTCAAAGTTGTCTGAGTTTTAAGGATTTTTATTATGTCCCATCGTCCTGCTACTACAGGGTGCAGCAGCATACCTTCCATTCAGTTGGTTGAAGACGTAGCGGAGTGCTAGTGGTCTCGTTTGAGAGGCGAGAGTATAAAGTTTTGTCCTGACACAGTTCAGTCACCATCATGCGTTGGAACAGTGTGCTTTTGCCATTGAGGTCTACTTTTCCAGCAGATTTGGAGTGGCTGGCCCGCTCTCCAGATTTGGCCCCTTGTGATTTTTTTCTATGGGTTTTTTTTGAAATCCCGTGTTTATGTGAACCGTCCAAGGACCCTACAAGATTTGCAGACCAACATCCAGGAAGAAATTGCCAACATAACGCCTGCTATGCTGGCAAGAGTCATGACAAATGCCAGAAATCGTTTTACTCAGAGAATAGAGAATGGGGGACGTCACCAACCTAATTTGATCTTCAAAACTATGTAAAACAAAACTTTAGGTATGTGCCTACATTATAATATTTTTTCCTGATCCATACAAAGGGTTTTATTAAGTTTTGAAAAAATGAAGTTATGCTGCTGCACCCTGTATTATCCAAAAAACCTGAAAGCTACATAGTTAGATTTTGAAGTGACAGCTTCATGTGAAGAGAATCTTTTAGCAAGCTGAATTATTGAGATGAAAAGGTCCAAAATTAATACAACAACTTCACATTTCAATGAGCAAGACGCAAATCCTATTTACAATCGCCATCCCTGCCATGGACATCCAATTCTCAGTTAATTCTTTGAGAAAAACACTGAATAATAAGCCTTGCTTTAGGGTTCTATGTTTAAGGCACTTATAAAAGCTCAGTTTAGTGGTCTATATAAACCTCCCAAACTGAGCAGTTTTGCTACATTCCTCTTATTTTACATAATTTATTCTGCGGACTATTTTGTTTGTCAATAAGGACAGAGAAGGAGTTAAACACAGAACATTGAAGCTTCATCCCACAATCATTGGAAATCTCATTCCAGGACATCTCTTGACTTCTGAGATTTGCCCAAGCATGTATTTTGGGGCACCTTTCTCAAAAAAAAGCAAAACAAAACAAAAGCAAGGAAGGGAAGTGATATTTCCACAATCCAGTTTCATTCTTCTGACAGTTTTTTTTTTACAGTCCCACCCAATTTCAATGCAATAAATATTCAAAGAACACTGAGAATAATAGCTCAAATCTCCCTCCCTGTCACTCAAAACAGTACATCTTGGCTTTTTCTCCATAGTTTCAAACTGAATGCCACAACAATGCAATATAAAATTTGGTATTAAAAAGTGGTGTCACTTAAAAAAAACCCAACAGATTTATTACCACACTATAGTAAGATGTTCAATTAGTCTCATTATCATTTATAAAGCTGCCCATACCATGTAATGAATCTATGTTTTGTTGTTCCTCATCTGATTCTTCTAATAGTTTAATCACCACAAAGACTCTTGCTATGATGCAAAATTATTTCTTCTCCAGACTACCACCACATATACGTTTTGATGTAACCTTGTGAAAGAACGCTGTCTTTTCTGTTCTGAAGTCTGAACAAAAATTCCCTTTTTTACCATTGAAAAACTATCAAAAACATCACAGTTTCAAAGAGAAACTCACATTCTGCCTCAATTTTTTCCCCTCAAAAGAATATCTCATGGCTTTTCCTTGCTGTCAGTGCAAAATCCAGGATGGACATCTTCCTGTGGCTTTTCTCTAACACCCTCTCCAAAAGTTTCAACTCTAAATGCAGTAATCCAAGTAGTGGTCTGACCCCTTCTGTCTTGCAATCCAAGGAAGAGATGAGGAAGAAACTGAGGAGCACTCCATTTTGTTTGCATGCCGTTTGACGGAAACTGTCACAAATCCCATATAGGCATGTGCGTCCTATTTTCTTATTTTTCCTTTACTTGAACCCTTAGACCCATCAACCAGAACTTGATGCAATAGTCATACATATAAAATATAATTCTAGGCCCAGGAATTAGTCCTGAGTGCTGGAACTGAGTGATGCTCAAAGGTTTCCCACACAAAAACACACTCCTGATCATCTCAGTATAAATTTGAGAAGTATAAATTAAAGTGTATATGTCAGGTATAACATTTTTGCTGCTCCGAGAATCAGCAATCCATTGTAATGCACTGTGAATCAGCCATGAGATCCAGATCTATCTTCTGTCCATCCCTGCCTTAGCCTAGCTGCCAGGAAGAAGAGAAAAAAGGAACCTCCTTGGCCTGAAGAGGCCTATATGAATCTTACTCATTCTTACATGAATTAATAATTCACAATTTTGTGTCCTGAGCTGCCTTCATTATGAAAACAGATGTCTCTGGTGATGGGGAATGGTCTTCATGCAAAGTCCTTGGAGCAAGTGACAGATTCTGAAAGACCGAGGTACTCCAGATTCTCCGCAGTTGGGGTTGTGGTGAAACCATTAGTGGTGGCAACAGGAGCAACAGAGGTAGCAAAGAATTCTACTGGGTTGCTCTTGGAAGGGTCTTGATTCCAATAATAAAGATTGTCAAAGGCTTGGGATAAAGGGCCAGCCACAGGGAGGTTGCACGGCGTCAGATATTCTGGGTTTTCCACCACATTGGTGAAACTGCTGGGGAAGGCATTCTTTGGATCTTTGATGAGTCCATTCTTGCCAAAATGACCCTTTGCCTTTTCTAGGGTAGTCCCGGGCGGTCGAACAATTTTGCAGGAAGGCAAGTTGTTTTCTGGCTGGTTAACATATTCTGCAAAGGTAAGAGAAAACCAAGGCTGATTTTAACGAACTAGGAACTTTAGGAGAAAGAACATCTCAGAAAAAGAGTGCTTGAGAAGAGCGCATATGAAAAGGATCTAGGAGTCTTGGCAGACCATACGTACGTCAAAGATGAGTCAACAATGTGATGTGCCAGATAACCAGCCAATGTGATTCTAGGCTGCATCAAGACAAGTACAGAATTATAGAGTTGGAAGAGACCTCATGTGCCATCCAGTCCAACCCCCTGCCAAGAAGCAGGAAAATTACATTCAAAGTACCCCTGACATGGCCTTCCAGCCTCTGTTTAAAAGTTTCCAAAGAAGGAGCCTCTACCACACTCCCAGGCAGAGTTCCATTGCTGAACAGCTCTCATAGTCAGAAAGTTCTTCCTAATGTTCAGATGGAATCTTCTTTCTTGTAGTTTGAAGCCATTGTTCTGCGTCCTAATCTCCAGGGCAGCAGAAAACAAGTTCGCTCCTCCTCCCTATGACTTCCTTTCACATTTATACATGGCTATGTCTCCTCTCAGCATTCTCTTTTTCAGGCTAAACATGCCCAGCTCTTTAAGCTGCTCCTCATAGGGCTTGTTCTCCAGAGCCTTGATCATTTTAGTCACCCTCCTCTGGACACATTCCAGCTTGTGTCCATCTCTCTTCAATTGTGGTGCCCAGAATTGGACACAATATTCCAGGCAGAATAGAGGGGTAGCATGTCTTCCCTGGATCTAGACACTATACTCCTATTGATGCAGGCCAAAATCTCATTGGCTTTTTTTGCTGCCGCATCACATTGTTGGCTCATGTTTAACATGTTGTTCATGTGGACTTCAAGATCTTTTTCATATGTACTGCTCTCGAGCCACACATCCCCCATTCTGTATCTTTGCATTTCATTTTTTCTGCCGAGATCAAGTGTTGAAATCAAGGGAAATCAGAGTCCCACTCTATTCTGCTTGGGTCAAACCTCACCTGAAATACAGTACTCAGTTCATAGGCAGCACAATTCAAGAAAAAATCAAGCTGGAATCTGTCCAGAGAAAAGTGACTATAATGGTAAAAGGTCTGGAAGCCAAGCTCTATAAGGAATGGTTTAGGGAGCTGAGTATATTTAGCTCGGAGAAGAAAAGATTAAGAGGGGAAAGATAGTCATGTAAGTTCAACGGGCAGCAGCCAGATTACTAACTGGGGCGGGATACAGGGAGTATACCACCCCCCTGTTATGCCAGCTCCACTGGCTGCTGGCCCATCTCCGAGCCAAATTCAAAATGCTGGTTTTGACCTATAAAGCTCTATACGGTTCGGGCCCAGCTTACTTGTCTGAACGCATCTGCCCCTACGTCCCACTTCGCTCCTGTCAACAGCGCAAATGCGGCTGGCGGGAAGAAGGAGCAGGGCCTTCTCGGCTGTGGCCCCCTGCCTATGGAACACACTCCCAAAGGAGGTAAGATCTGCTCCCTCACTTCTGACCAGGGACCAGGCCTTCGAACAATAGATGTATGCAGCTATTAGTGGGACAAGGACTGGAACGGCAACTTGACTAATGAGATTGTTTTATGGTTTTAATAACTGTTTTGATATTTGATGATGTACTGTTTTTAATATGATTTATATTTAAAGTGTGGTTTTACTATTGTAGTTGTAAGGCATTGAATTTTTGCCATTATATGTGTGTAAACCGCTTTGAGTCCCCTTAGGGGTGAAAAAGGCGGTATATAAATGCTACAAATAAATAAATAATAAATAAGCCAAAGAGCCGGTGTTGTCCATAAACACCTCCAAGGTCATGTGGCCAGCATGACTGCATGGAACGCTGTTACCTTCCCGCTGAAGCGGTACCTATTGATCTACTCACATTTCCATGTTTTCGAACTGCTAGGTTGGCAGAAGCTGGGGCTAACAGTGAGAGCTCACGCCGCTCCCTGGATTCAAACTTCAATCTTTCAGTCAGCAAGTTTAGTAGCTCAGCGGTTTAACCAGCTGCGCCATCAGGGGCACCTGTTCTAGTTCTGCATTTTGTGAATACAAATACAATGCATATACCTGGAATCAAACCAGATGGTGAATTGTAGTTTTGAGCCTCCAGATCCTCATGTTCATTAGTTGAAGGACTGGTGGGATCTTCACTGTAGCGCTGAAGAGGGCTAGACTCTGGCAATGAGTCCTGCAATGCCTTGCTTGCTGCGCAGTCTCCATCAAGCATCAAGTTAGTGAGGACACTGTTTGGCTGTTCTGGGAGCAATGGGCCCAAATATGGACTCTGAGCTGATTCGCCAGTCTCCTCTGCATCTGGCTGAGTCTCTGTGGTACTCTGGAAGGAAAGACAAGAATCACCTGCAGAACTGTATGTGTTGGATGAATAGGAAGCAAAATGAGATACTGTTACAACATGTGATTACAGCAGAAGGTTATTATAAGCAAAAAAAAATGGAAAAACAAATTTATATACCACTTCAGGAAGATTGGAGAATAGATAAKTTGTCAATTTGCTGAAAYTGACAAATTATCTATTATTTATACTCCASTATAAGCCTAGATTTTCAGTCCTTTTTATAGGCTGAAAATGTTCCTCTCGGCTTATACTTGAGTCAAGGTTATTTATTATTTTACTCTGTTATTATTATTTTTATTACATGTATTATTTTACTCTATTTATTATTATTATTATTATTATTATTATTATTATTATTATTACATTTATCATTTTACTCTATTATTATTATTATATTATTATTTTACTTTATTATTGTTATTACATTTATTATTTTACTCTATTATTACTGTTATTATTACATTTCCATTATTTTACTCTATTATTATTATTAGTAGTAGTAGTATTATTATTATTATTATTATTATTATTATTACATTTATTATGTTACACTCTTTATTATTATTGGAAGGATACATAAGCRCATTGAAGATGCTTAGAATCAGAGTTGGACAGTCTTATCTTAAATTACAGTGTTATGTAAACATTCAAAAACTTAACCTTCTGATGCCTCAGTTAATGTAGTTTTATTGGTATCTGTTTTTATTTTGAAATTTACCAGTCACTGCTACATTTTCCACCCTCGGTTTATACTTGAGTCAATACGTTTTCCCAGTTTTTGTGGTAAAATTAAGTGTCTAGGTTTATATTTGGGTCGGCTTATACTCAAATATATACGGTACTTTGATAAAGAAAAGAAATTGAGTACTTTTAAGAAATTCTTTCTTACTTTTAAGAAATAATGGAATTATTAATTTTTTTTGCAAGAAAGGTGAGACGATACTAATTTAGGGTTTGAGATTTATATATTAGTTCACTTGAATTACACTATGGAACATGATTTTTGTTCCTGTGGTAATAAATGTCATTTCCTAATTGGTTGTATTAGAAAAACACAGAAAAGGTTTATTAAACTGCAAAGACTTTGTTTTGTGGGAGGGACATCCTGCAGCACATTTTGCTATAGTTTTTCAATGAGTATTTCGTAGAATCTTAACCAATTCCACATAGTTTGTGGCAGCCACAAAAACAAAGCTTCTAGAGTACAACAACTACTTTCAAAGTAAATATTTATTTATTATTATTTTATTTGCAGTGCTTCTATCCCACCCTTCTCAACCCCCTAGGGGGGACTCAGGGCGGCTTACAAAAAAGGCACAATTCGATGCCAAACAATTCACAAAGTACAATATACAATTTAACATCAACAATTGTCACTAGTTAAAACATCGCATCAATACATTAACAGTAATAAAATCATCCTGTGGCCAATGTTCGCCGATTTATAATTCCATAATCCATCCAGCATTGTCATTGTCCTTTCCTGCTCTGGTCATCCTTGTCTTTGTCCATCTGCCAACTTACCCAAAGGCCTGGTCCCACATCCAGGTTTTTAACTTCCTGCTGAAGGAGAGGAGGGATGTTGATGACCTAATTTCCCCAGGGGGTGCATTCCACAGGCAAGGGGCCACCACCGAGAAGGCCCTGTCCCTCGTCCCCACCAGCCTCACTTGTGATAAAGGTGGGGCCGAAAGCAGGGCCTCCTCAGAAGATCTTAAACTCAGAGGTGGGACGTAGAAGGAGATACGTTCGGACAGGTATGCTGGGCCAGAGCCGTAAATACTGAACAATTAAACAGGAAATAAGACTTTCCAAACAGGAACAGATTTTTTCCCATTTTTTTTTCCATAGTATTAGTATGAAGCGAGATGTAACATGAGTATTTGGGAAGTAGGATCTGTTATCATTTATAGCATTGGTTTGAAAGTTAGGTTTTGAACTATAGAATCATAGAGTTGGAAGAGACCTCGTAGGCCATCCAGTCCAACCCCCTGCCAAGAAGCAGGAAAATTGCATTCAAAGCACCCCGAAGAAATGGCCATCCAGCCTCTGTTTAAAAGCCTCCAAAGAAGGAGCCTCTATCACAGTCAGGGGCAAAGAGTTCCACTGCTGAAGTTCTTCCTCATGTTCAGGTGGAATCGCCTTTCCTGTAGTTTGAAGCCATTGTTCTGATCCTTGTCTCCAGGGTAGCAGAAAACAAACCTGCTCCCTCCTCCCTTTGACTTCCCTTCACTATACCTTTTAACATCCCAATGACTGTGCTGGCTGGGGAGATTTTTGGATCTGTAATTAAAAAAAAACCCCTTTCCAAATTGTGCTCTAGTTATAAAGGTAAGTGGACGGTCTAGATGTGAAATTCTCAGGGAAAGTTTGTATCCTTTGGCCAGCTTTCAGAAATAGCAGAAGTTTGGAATTGTGTGTGTATGTGGTTTCAGCAGAATGAATTACAAAGTTCTATGACTAGCATGTGTTCTGAACACATCTGTTTTATTACACAGTATATCCCTGCGAAGAAAATAAAATGTGTGTGTGTGCTTCACACCTGGAAACATTTTCTCGTCCCTCTAAACTCATTGTCAATCTTCATACTAGATATCTGGCATGCACTTGAATAGCTTTTTTTTTTTGTCGTGTCAGGAGCTACTTGAGAAACTTCAAGTTGCTTCTGGTGTGAGAGAATTGGCCATCTGCAAGGATGCTGCCCAGGGGACGCACAGATGATCTGATGTTTTTTTATCATCCTTGTGGGAGGCTTCTCTCATGTCCCCGTATGAGGAGCTGGACCTGATAGAGGGAGCTCATCCGCCTTTCCCTGGATCCGAACCTGCGATCTGTCGGTCTTCAGTCCTGCCGGCACAGGGATTTAACCCACTGCGCCACCGGGGGCTCCTTACTTGAATAGCTAAAAGGCCTGGAATGACATTAGAAATCTTGATACAGATATGATTCTCTATGATTGTTATTTTCTGAGTGAGCTGTAACCTTACTCTGTTTGAAGGTATCCGAGAACGATAGTCAGGCGATGCCTCATTACCGAAGAACCCCTGGTGAGGGACCAAGTACTCTTCTGCATCCACCAGATCTTGCATGTCTTCTTCCTCTAGCAACGTGCGGTAGAAAGTGCTGTCAATGGGGCTGGCTAGACCCATTTTATCATCATTCTGTCAAAAAAGAATAAATCAAATAAAAATATTTGTGGATTCAAGGATTCTATCTCTCCTGCTGGGAAGAGGTAGGAAGGATTCTGCTATATCTTTTGAATAATTCTTATAAAGAATACTGTGCGGTACATTAATATTCTTATTTTTTCACACATTTGAATACACCAATATTCATGGTTTCCATAATGCTGTGAAGGTTTATTGAGGGCCACCCAATGGTTGCAAGCAAGATCCAAGATTTGAACAGATGACTTCCTTGTTCGCAAATCTGAATGCTCTGCAAATTGAGGGGGGGGGGGGTTCTCTCAATACACCACAGAGCCAACATGATGTAGTGGCCTTAGTGATGGATTATGGCCATGGGATACACTACAGTTTGAATTCCCCCATTCAGCAGTTGAATCCACTGGCTGTCCTTAGGCAAGTTACATCACCTGAGCTTCAGAGAAAGACACTGGCAAACTTTCTCAGAATAAATCTTGCCAAGAAGACCCTATGATAGCTTTGCCATATGTTGGAATCAACTTGAAGGCACATAACAACAAATCATCATGTTAATGCACATCCTATACTGAGCACATTTCCACACTGTCTGGAATCAGGGTAGATGTCAACTATGAGATTTCACTGCAGTTAAGAGTGCTGGACATAAAACTATGAATTACAATTTCATACAATGAGTAACACAAAGACACATAGGACCTGCAGTCCTGTCATGTAAGTTATGACCTGCCTGCTCTTTGATAATCTTGCTATGTAATAAGTAATCAGGACATGAAGTTCCTCCAAGTGTCAGCTGTGAATTGCTTTCTTTGTAATTTAAGAAGCATGTCAGGTGATGATGTTCCTTACGGAAACAGTGACTGACATCATAAAAGCTGCAACACTTCTCAGATTTCACTGCCTATTTGCTTTTGATGCCATAGTGCTAGGGACAGATGGTACTTCCTGGAAAGAGATAGTTCCAGAGGATTGAAGCAAATGAACTAAGCCACATACTCAAGAGGCAGCAGACAACAACAACAACAACAACAACAACAACATGCATGCATATGCATCTGTACGCATGCCGTGCATGAGTCAATCCAACTTGGAATAAAATCCTTTTGCTCTCCAAAATCTATCTGGTCCTAGAGGAGCAAAATCTAGCTCACTGAATTCCAATCCATACAGTGTCATATACAGTATAAGCTGTGTGTATTCAGAAATGTCTACACACCTGTAGTAATGGTTTTAAGTTTTAATTTATAGTTACACGTTATCATTTTAGTTATTATTCTTTGGTTTGTATATATGTTGGCATTAAATTTTGCCATTACTTGTTGTACACTGCTTTGAGTCTCTCCAGGGGTGAGAAAAGTGGTATATAAATTTTATTTATTTATTTACAGTATTTATATTCCACCCTTCTCACCCCACAGGGGACTCAGGGCAGATTACAATGTACACATATATGGCAAACATTCAATGCCAAAGACACACAACAGATATAGACAAATAGTCAGAGGCTATTTAACTTTTTCTGGCCGCCAGGGGAGCTGTTGCTTTCATCGTCCATCTGCGACACTGATGAAGTACTTCCACATTCCCCGCATGCTTTTTGCTGAAGTGCTCTGCTGGAGTCTTTTTTATGACCTCGTAAATTTTGTTAAATTAGCCTCCCCACACATTGGTGGTACCTAATTTTCCTACTTGACAGATGCAACTGTCTTTCGGGTTGCAAAGGTTGACAACAAGCTACACAATTGGTCAGAAGCTCACTCCGACGCGGGCTGGCTTCGAACTCATGACCTTGTGGTCAGAAGTGATCTTAATGCAGCTGACACTCAGACAGCTGCGCCACAGTCCTGGTGTAATGAGGTAAATAATAATAATAATAATAATAATAATAATAATAATAATAATAATAATAATGGTAGTAATAGATATCAAATCTGTCCCACAACTAGTTTCTAACACATCTTCTAGCATAGTGATAGCAACTGTGTTGATGTCTTTGCAGTACAACACCCATCAGCTCTACCAGCATAGCTAATGGTACAAGATTATGGAAGTTGTAATCCATCAGTATCTGAACGGTCAAACATCGCCCACTCCAGGCACAGATGTGACCAGATGCCTCAAACAGCTGGAACAATAAGAGGCTCTCATCGTTCTTTCCTTGCAGCAATTCATCTTGGACATTGGTTCTCAACCTGTGGGTCCCCAGATGTTTTGGCTTTCAACCCCCAGAAATCCTAACAGCTGGTAAACTGGCTGGGATTTCTGGGAGTTGCAGGCCAAAACACCTTGGGACTCACAAGTTGAGAACCACTGATCTTGGAGATATCTAGCTGGGAAAATACAGCATTAGATAAACTTTGTCTGCTCTGGTAGGAAGTTTTGTAATTTTGCCGATTCTCATCTCTTAACCCCACTTCCACCCCACTTAAACAAAGCAATATGGTTACTGGAGAATATTCCACATAACTTAAACTTTTGAAGGAGAAAGCAGGCAATTTTCTCACCTGGATGACCACAAAACGTTGTGGATCCCTGGCCATACGAGTGAACTCTGTGACCAGTTCTCGAAACTTAGGCCGGCATTCTGAGTCAATCATCCAACCTGTGTGGAAAACACAGCACAATTATTCCCTCCAGTGTATCAGATAAAATTAAAACATTTTGAGAGAACTCCTTTCCACCTAATGGGACAGGGAAGGCAGTAAAAGCAAGGCGCTTTCAGCTATCTAACAAACTAGTAGGTACCAAGAAAGAATTAGGGAAAATTTAATATAGCGTTTGGAATCTTTCCCCAACATAGAAAAAACATACTTAGAACCCTGGCTATTTTCTAGTATGTTAGAGCAAATCATATTCACTTAACACTACTGCATCTAGTATTCTAAAACTCAGTATTTATATGATTATACTCTCACCTGGTGGTGGTGCAGTGGGTTAAACCGCTGAACTGCTGAATTTGCTGACTGATAGGTTGGCGGTTTGAATCTAGGGAGCAGGGTGAGCAGTTCAAAAACATACAAATGTGAGTAGATCAATAGGTACCACTTCTGCAGGAAGGTAACGGTGCTCCATGCATTCATGCTGGCCACATGACCTTGGAGGTGTCTACGGACAATGCCAGCTCTTTGGCTTAGAAATGGAGATGAGCACCACCCCACAGAGTCTGACACAGCTAGACTTAATGTCAGGGGAAACTTTTACCTTTACTCTAATATGAATTCTGCTGGTTAGCTCTAACTGTAGTAAATTTACTAATTTGGGCGTTGAAATGGTGAGTCAACAATCAAAAGTAAATTCCACTGCTACAATAAGCCTAGTTTAGTCGAGACTAAGTACAGGATTCTTGCCTCGCCATGAAAAATTATAATTACAACCCAAATTTGGTGTCCAGAAAAGCTGATTTCTTGTGAATTGGGAAAACTTTATTCATTTCTGCCTAATATGTTCTGCAATATTTGCAATTTTGAATCATTTTTCTTGGCTTTTCTCTTAAGAGGACAAGAAGCTACATATGATGCTATGGACCTATCCCTAAAAATCCAGCTTGTGTTGTCCATATGATACTGTAAAGGTTGGGAAATTTATTTTTAAAAGCAGAGATTCTTTAAAAACAAAAACCGGAATGCTGTGAAAATTTTTACATTACATGCTTTTCTACATTCATATGAAACATCATTGTTTATACATCTCTGAATATGTGCAAGCAAAATTTGGAACATTTATTTACTAGCTTTTCCAATGTGGCAAATAATAAATGCACTTAACACAACTAGAAAATAAAAGTGGTCTATCTTGCTCCCAAAAGAAAGCAAGCAATCTCACCAGTCCTTGCCGCCAAAAGAAATTACAGCTCAATGAAATACAATCTCAAGGGTGCATATCTTGTTAGATGAAAGTATGCCAGAATATATCAAATTGCCAGGTGTCTCTTCTAGCCTTTTTTTTTTTTGACAAGGCTGTTGAGAAGCTGATGCAAGCAAAATTATTGTTGTGCCCTTCTACAACTCTTCTACCTTGTATGCCAAACTCAAGAGATATTTCTGATAACATACATTTCACCATGATCATGTAAACATCAATGGTGCAGATGGGGGGCTGCGGCAGCCTCTCTCCTTTCTCTAGCAGATCAGGGATCTCCCGGGCTGGAATGCCATCGTACGGTTTGGCGCCAAATGTCATCAGCTCCCATACAGTTACACCTGGAGAGAAAATGGAAAGAGCATCAAGCAACAGCCGAGTTTTAAATTGGGAATGAAAGATAAGGACAAGAATGGGAGGCCTGGCTTACCATAGCTCCACACATCACTTTGGTGAGTGAATCGCCTGCGCAAGATGGACTCCAATGCCATCCATTTGATGGGCACCTGGGCAAGGCAAAACAACACTGCAAAGATGACCATGTTGCCAGGAATCTGTCTATCCAGCTGTCTCCAAGCAGTAGCTGACCATGGGAATGTTTTGAAAGGACTAATGTGTGTATGTATCCAGCGTCAGCCTAGTTCACAGACAGGAGGTAAATCTATGCTTGGACTGTTTCAGTTCAGACTAGAGATGGGGAGATGAGACGACAGTACTGGCCGGTCCTCAATACAAGACTTTATCTTCATTTTTTTTAAAAAGTATTCTATTCTTTCTCACAATAGGCTTTTTTCCCCGAGTAGCATGTAGTCATTTGAGCCCACATGTATGATTCGACATAATAATAATAATAATAATAATAATAATAATAATAATAATAATCTTTATTTATACCCCGCTCTATCTCCCCCAGGGGGGCTCGGGGCGGCTTACATGAGGCCATGCCCATCAATACAATAAACATAATACTACACAAAAGCATAACACAATATAACACAAAGCATAAACAGAACCAAAAAACATAAAATGCAAAACCAAAATAATAAACGAAACAGCAGTATAAAATCAGACATTAAACACATAGTAATTACACGGGCAAGGCCAAATTTAAGGATAAAAATTTAAAAATTTTAAAACACTGGGAGATTGGGAAATGGAAATTATTGGGGAAGGAGATCCGGATTGAGGAAGGAATTAATTGCCTGAACCATAAAATAAAGTGCCTATGAGGTCATTTGCAAAATTTGGTCAGGGAGTGTCTTACATTCAATCACTGAAGGCACATTAGAATAACCAGCTTTTCAGATTCCTCCTGAAGATTGCCAGCGTGGTAGCTTGCCTAATATCTCTGGGGAATGAATTCCAGAGCGGGGGGGCTACTACAGAGAAGGCCCTTTCTCTCGTTCCCACAAGTCGCACTTGCGATGTAGGCGGGAGCGAGAGAAGAGCCTCTCTGGAAGATTGAAGGGGTCGTGTGGGTTCATAGACGGAAATGCAGTCGCGCAAGTAGGCAGGTCCCAAACCATTCAGGGCTTTGTAGGTCAAAACCTGAACCTTGAATTGGGCCCGGAAGATAAATGGCAGCCAGTGGAGCTCTTTAAACAGGATACATACAGTTTCATCCATCTTAATATTGTTTAGAATAGGGATGGGCAATTTCAGCAGATCTAAGATCAATATTTCTGCTCCTGGGATCTTTAAAAGACCGCCAGTAAAAATGCTAAATAATAACAAACAAAATAAAGTAGTTGGAAGCACACTTTCGGTTTTGGAAGCTTTAAAAAATACATTAGCACAGTGCCGTAGGGCTCCAGAATCCACTGAAAGAGTGAATTACTGCTGAAGACAGAACGCCCCTCTGTCTTTCCTTCCACACTGAGTACTTTCACACTCAGACGACTCACTGGTCCAAAGTCACCCAAATTAAATTCAAATGAATACAAAAGAAGAATATAGAAGAAAAGCTGGATCTCCCGTGTATTAGTACAATACTTTAATCATTACATCACACTGGCTCTATCTCACCAGTTAAACAATTCAGCCTTAAGTGTGCTTCAGGTTTGTCTTCTACTTGGTCCTACCTTTCCTCCATCTGCATGATATTCTGTCTCATCAATGTCCAGCAGTCGGGCCAAGCCAAAATCCGTGATCTTCACGTGGTTTGGACTCTTCACCAAAACATTCCTGGCAGCCAAGTCTCGATGCACCAGACGGACTTCCTCCAGGTAGCTCATACCCTGAGAAGGAAAAGATAAAAGTCTGTTTGCTTCCCTCAAAGATGAGCCAAGGGAAATTACCACTGGAACTCTTAAACATATGTAAATAATGCAGATGTTGCTTGTATATGCACCTTCAGCCCATGTACCAAAGGGTGGGTTACAATAAAAAAAAACTAACCTTTCTTTTTGAATAGCATTTACACAACTTGCTAAACAACATCTAGATTAAAAGCAAATCGATCCAAGACATACTTGAAAGGAAAGAATGAAAAGCAAAACCAATCTCCAAATGGTGACATTTCCTTCAACAGCAGGTCTTATACAGAGGACTATCTCAGCCATACTACATTTCATTCCCCTGTTTCAGAAGAATGAGTTGACTACTGATGAACTATATTTCCTAGTTCATACATAGTCAATGTAAGGGAATATGTGAGCACAGTCCAGCAACTCCAGGACAGTAGAGCTAGAAAGCGCTAACTGAACTGGAAATAAGAAAGCTTTTCCAGCTGAAGCCTTCTAAAAACAAGGTATGTTTACTGCCACTAATTTGTGAGCGTTTCTGAAATGTATAAGGTAAAGGTAAAGATTTCCCCTTGACATTAAGTCTAGTTGTGTCTGACACTGGGGGAGTGGTGCTCATCTCCATTTCTAAGTCGGAGAGCCGGCATTGTCTGTAGACACCTCCAAAGTCATGTGGTCAGCAAGACTGCATGGAGCACTGTTACCTTTCTGCCGAAGCGTTACCTATTGATCTACTCACATTGGCATGTTTTCGAACTGCTAGGTTTGCAGAAGCTGGGGCTAACAACGGGAGCTCACTCCGTCCCCCAGATTCAAACTGCCAACCTTTCTGTCAGCAAGTTCAGCAGCTTAGCGGTTTAACCCACTGTGCCATTGTGGCCCCCAAATATATAATTACCCTATATAATCATGTTTATAAGTCTGGAAATGTTTGTCAGAAAATCAATCCAAAAAAACCTTGGTCAAATTCTCAATGAGCGGGGGGAAAAGGAACCAGATAAGAGTTTAATGATAATAATAATAATAATAATAATAATAATAATACTTTATTTATACCCCACTACTATCTCCCCAAGGGACTCGGTGCGGCTTACATGAGGCTGAGCCCACAATACATCAGTCATAGTTTGTCCCAGGAGAACTGAAAAGCACCAATCTCCTCTACTTTCTCTGCTGTGGCCTTTGGTCTTTTTGAGAGCCTGGGTGAGGAAGTGGCCATGAGGTCGAATTAGTGTTTTCCCTACTCTGTGGAATGCTTTCGAATGATTCACAGGTCAAATAAAAATCCATAATTTTTAAACCTGCTTTCAGCTTATAAATGAGGTTGACTTATATATGAGTATATATGGTATAGATACACCTTATTTTTCAAATCCCAGTGCTTGGGAGAGGATGTTTGCAAGCAGAAAGTGGAAGTAAGCGGTAAAATATTCTATTTGCATGCATATTTAGAAGAATAAGGAAGGTCCTGTAAAAGAGGAGAGAGGAATGCAGAAGTTTTCAGATTGCTGACATATTCCCAAGGTCTCAGCCCCTGTACTAAGGCATGTGGTATGTACTCAGCTATTCCTTTACTGCTGTGAAAGAAACAACTATGATGTCACACTGCAGCTACTCCAATTATACTACTGCAGTTGTCAGACAAGCTCCACCAGCTGAAATCCTCTCTTCTAAGTAGCCAAGAAAAGTGCAGAAACCATGTGTGATCAGTCATCCACCAACATCACCAGCCATCCTAAATGTTTTCCCCAGTCTACTTCTCATTAGCTGAATTTGTGGCTTGCACTTTGCCCTAACAAATCTATATAAATAAAAATGTAATGTTAGTTTGTAGGATTAACATAACTCAAAAACCACTGGACAAATTGACACCAAATTTGGACACAAGATACCTCTCAGGCCAACGGGTGATCATCTCTCATAAAAACACTGAAAAACACAGCACAAAAGACTAAAAAAAACCCCCAAACAACCCCCCCCCCAAATTACATTACAATGCTTTGAAATGGTCATATGACTGATCAAATAAATAAATATTATTATTATTATTATTACAATGCACACACAAAATCACATGTATGCACACACCAACACACATACAGACACACAAAACACAGATACACATACACACACACAAAACACAGATACACAGACTGGGCCACAGCAATGCGTGGCAGGGGACAGCTAGTATACACACACAAAACACAGCACCAGGACTGTGGCACAGCTGTTTGAGTGTCAGCTGCATTAAGATCACTTCTGACCACAAGATCATGAGTTTGGAGCCAGTCCGGGTCGGAGTGAGCTTCCAACCAATTGTGTAGCTTGTTGTCGACCTTTGCAAGCCGAAAGACAGTTGCATCTGTCAAGTAGGAAAATTAGGTACCATCTATGTGTGGGGAGGCTAATTTAACAAATTTTACGAGGCCATAAAAAAGACTCCAGCAAAGCATTCCAGCAAAAGCATAGGGGGAATGCGGAAATACTTCATCAGTGTCGCAAATGGACGATGAAAGCGACAGCTCCCCTGGGGGCCAGAAAAAGTTAAATGGCCTCTGACTGTTTGTCTATAACTGTTGTGTGTCTTTGGCATTGAATGTTTGCCATATATGTGTACATTGTAATCCGCCCTGAGTCCCCTGCGGGGTGAGAAGGGCGGAATATAAATACTGTAAATAAATAAATAAATAAATAAAAGTAAGATATAAAGATATTATTGTCTTGTTTGTTTATTTTATTATTATTGCTCGTTTAAGAGAACGAAGAAAATATGAGAGGATACAGCAGAACATATTGATAGATTCAAGACCTGCAAACTACATGTATGTTATTTTGAAAGATAAATATTAGTAATGATGGATCCTAGGCCTGGCAAAAATGTTCATCAACATGAAATCTAGCTGCTGCCTTGAAGCTTCACCTACCTTTGCTATCTGCACACACCAGTTCAGAAGGTCCTGGGAACCAATACGGTCCTTGTTCTCCCGCACATAGTCCAGCAGACAGCCGTATGGCATGAGCTGAGTCACCAGCTGCACCGTGGAAGTGAGGCAGATTCCCAGAAGCCGAGAAACATATGGGCTGCCCACACCTGCCATGACATATGCCTCCTGGGTAAAGATTGAGAGAAGCAATGGGAAATGTTAGAAGTCTCCTTTGGAAATCAGAAGTGAAGAAAAACTCCACAGGGGAAAAACATTTAAGGATATTCTGATAGGGAGGGTTAGAGTGCCAGCTGCTGCCCTCTGGTCCAGGGCACACAACTCAGAAAGACTCATAATGCCCTCCCCACTCACATCCAATATCTCCTTGTTTGCTTTGGGAGAGGTGTTTTCTCGCAAGACTTTGATGGCCACTGGGATCTTCACATTCTCACCATCTGGAATCCAAACACCCTGCACAGACGATTAAGATAAAGATTGTGTGATTAATAAATAATAATAAAATAATAAACTTTATTTGTACCCTGCTACCATCTCCCCAAGGGACTCGGTGCGGCTTACATGAGCCCAAGCCCAAAGTACATCAGACAAAACATCAATAAACACAACATCAATAAACAATCAATAAAATACAAATCATATAAATCACATAAACAAAAAACAATCAATAGTGACATAAACAATTTTAAAAATGGCTGGGCCAAATGTAATAGATTAAAATTGAAAATATGCTGACGTGAACAAGGTAAAATATAACTAGGATAGGATTTTTTGGAGAGAAATGAGGGAGCACAGTCCATCCTAAGTCAGTATTAAAGTGCATTGTGAGGACATATTGCTGAGAGTTCTCCTTATTCTGGGAAGGCACACTGGAACAACCACGTTTTCAGGCTCCTCCTAAAGACTGCCAACGTTGGGGCATGTCTAATGTCCCTGGGAAGTGAGTTCCAGAGTCGGGGGGCCACCACCGAGAAGGCCCTCTCCCTCGTCCCCACCAATCGTGCCTGCGAAGGAGGTGGGAGCGTGAGCAGGGCCTCTCCAGATGATAGAAGCGATTGTGTGGGTTCGTACACAGAAATGCGTTCACGCAGGTAGGTGGGTCCCAAACCGTTCAGGGATTAAATACACTGAGCAGGACTTTGCTTTAATTAAAGTAAGGTATGGGAGGGAAACGGCAAAAATATAATGCAAAACACTGAGCTAAAACCAAATATAAAATAACTGGTTGTTATGCTAACACGTAGACCAAGGATCTAACTCAATACACTGCATGACAGATTGCCCACCAACAAACTTTACTATTTTGTAAAATTAGAGATAATAAGAAATCTACCATAACATAAAAGTTTTTCCACAGATAGTTGTAAGCAAACCACCTGCTTCAATATATGATGAAGAAGAGGCCTTCACAGTGGTGGCCCCTCGGCTATGGAACACCCTCCCTAGGGATATCAGATCGGCTCCCTCCCTCTTAACATTTCAGAGAAAAGTTAAAGACATGGTTGTTTGAGCAAGTGTTTACAAATGCAGAGTAACTGACATAGGAAATGGAATGACTAGATGATGGAATTGGACAATGGGTTGTTGTAGGTTTTTTCGGGCTGTATGGCCACGGTCTAGAGGCATTCTCTCCTGATGTTTCACCTGCAAGCATCCTCAGAGGTAGTGAGGTCTGTTGGAACTAGGAAAAAGGGTTTATATATCTGTGGAATGACCAGGGTGGGACAAAGGACTTTTGTCTGCTGGAGCTAGGTGGACAATGTTTTAACAAGGAGACGCTAATGATATGGGTTTTATTGTTTCAGCTGAGGTTTTATATTGTTTTTAATGTTTTAATTTATATTTTGATTTTATGTATACTGATTTGTTGTAAACCACCTTGAGTGGCCAACAGGCTGAGAATGGCGCTATACAAATACAGTAAATAAATAAAATAAATAAGAGCCATGGCTGATTAGGGATGATGGGAGTTATCACAGGCCAATGGATCTAGAGAGCAAAAGGTTGGAGGGCTTATGGAGATACTCACAGTGGATGCTAATCTGTTTGTCAAGTGGTAGAAGCTCCTTCTTGGGAGGCCTTTAAACAGGGGCTAGGTGGCTATCTGTCTGGGGTGCTTTGATTGTGCAGGGTAGAGGGTTGGACTAGATGACCCATGTGGTCTCTTCCAACTCTATGATTCTATCATTCTAAGTTGAACTTCAGCACTGACTCAGATAAGAAACACAGTGATTCTCCACATTTTGTCCTAAATTATCTATTTCAGCTTCCATTTAAGCTTCTTTTTAATAGGCAACATGCAAGGCATTAGGCCAAAATATACTTTGAACTACAGATTTTAAGCATAATTGTGTCAATCTTCATACAGGATGACATGTTACCAAAGACACAAAACAGCATTCTGAACATGCTCCTAACAAAAAGAATCACATTTGACAAATATCCTATGGAGAACTGGAAAAACACAAAGTGTTTCCTTGAAGAAAAGATTTTAAAAGGAACAGGGAAAGACTCCTTTTTCTTTGGGAAGGGTTTTGTGGCTTCAAGCTGGCCAACCAAAGTCCCCCTTGTCAGTTACAAATATATAACTAACCAGTTTTCATTCTCCTCACCTTGTACACTGTTCCAAAAGCACCGGACCCCAACACCTTGACTTTTTTCAATTCCGTCTCCTTGAGAATACGCATCTGAGCCTGGTTTGGCAGAGCCCCACTCGGTGTCAATGGCTCCACCAACTAATGAAACCACAGAAAAAGAGGAGGAGAAGGAACCAAGATCAGGAGAGAAACTGAAGTAGCATTTTCCATCAGTTAGTCTCACAAGCAAGAAAGAAATCAAATAATTCTGATAGCATGAGAAAGAAATTGGGAGGAGCAATACTGCTAAGTACCTCTTCAGGGATAATTCAGGAGATTGCTCCTTCAGAACTATTTCAACATGTTTTACGTACCAATATATGATGTAGAGCAGCATTTCTCAACCTGGGGGTCGGGACCCCTGGGGGGGTCACGAGGGGGTGTCAGAGGAGTCACCAAAGACCATCAGAAAACACAGTATTTTCTGTTGGTCATGAGAGTTCTGTGTGGGAAGTATGGCCCAATTCTATCATTGATGGAGTTCAGAATGCTCTTTGATTATAGGTGAACTATGAATCCCAGCAACTACAACTCCCAAATGTCATAGTCTATTGTCCCCAAACTCCACCAGTGTTTACATTTGGGCATACTGAGGATTCGTACCAAGTTTGGTACAGAATCTGATCCATCATTGTTTGATTCCACAGTGCTCTCTGGATATAGGGCAACTACAACTCCAAAACTCAAGGTCAATGCCCACCAAACCCTTCCAGTATTTTTTGTTGGTTCTGTGTGCCAAGTTTGATTCAATTCCATCATTTGTGGAGTTCAGAATGCTCTTTGATTGTAGACAAACTATAAATCACAGCAACTGTAACTCCCAAATGACAAAAATAAATCCCCTCGCAACCCCAACAGTATTCAAATTTGGGTGAATTGGGTATTTGTCCCAAATTTGGTCCAGTGAATGAAAATATATCCTACATATCAGAAATTTACACTATGATGCATAACAGTAGTAAAATTGCAGTTAGCAACTAAAACAATTTTATGGTTGGGGGGGGGGGTCACCACAACATGAGGAACTGTATTCAGGGGTCGCGGCATTAGGAAGGTTGAGAAACACTGATGTAGAGAATCTGAAATCTATCTTATTCTGTCTTCGAACACTGGTGAACAATATGTCCCAGGCATATTTACATGCAGGGCATAAAGGAGCATTTTATATTCATTTTTAAGTTGTGTTTGTTTTTAAAATGCTTTATAGTGTTTTAAGTATTTTTAATGGGCTTAAATCAGTGGTTCTCAACCTGTGGGTCCCCAGATGTTTAGGCCTTCAACTCCCAGAAATCCTAACAGCTGGTAAACTGGCTGGGATTTCTGGGAATTGTAGGCCAAAACACCACAGGTTGAGAACCACTGGATTAAATGTTTATTGTGAATATTTTAAGTGTTTTTCGGTCCCACTCTGGGAGAAAGGCAACATACAAATACAACAACAACAACCTGCCTTGTTTCTTGTTTGCCCTCTAGCACTTCATATTCATGGGACATGGAGGTTCCACTAAGCTAAACAGAATATACAGAACTTATAGAACCTGGAAGTCTGAGAGGCAATTACAAATACTTAAATAAATAAATGAAGAAACAATACAAATAAAAATGTATATGGAGGCATTTTCCACAAGGATTGAGGGGAGGGGAGTCAACTTTTATAACATCAGGCACACTTTGCCAAGAGTCTGTAAGTCCAACTTGGGAGAGAAACAGTGTTTGGATTTGCTTGTCCATGAAACAAAACATCACCACCTCTTCTGAAGAGCCTCCATTAGCGAGCAAACAATATAATTTTGATCAATTACATTTCAAAGACAACGTGCTAAACTAAACACTCCTAAAACCAAGCCTTCGATCTCCTTTTGCCCAGCCTTCCTGCTTTTTGAAACACTTTCGCTGATGAAGATATCTTGAAGTTTCAAAAATGTGCACTAATATTTTGGAACCTCTTTAGCTGGCCTTAAAAAAGCGACTATCATAATACAGATTCTGGATCAGTGGTTCTCAACCTGTGGGTCCCCAGATGCTTTGGCTTTCAACTCCCAGAAATCCTAACAGCTGGTAAACTGGCTGGGATTTCTGGGCATTGTAGGTCAAAACACCTGGGCACCCACAAGTGAGAACCACTGTTCTAGATGTTTTCCTGATAGTCAATTGTGGTATATCAGCCTTAAAAAAACCTTCTAAATGTTGCCAACATTCAAGAGATCATGGACAACTTCATGTCAACAATATCTCCTACACAAACCATCTTGCTAGTTCTATCCTTTAAAAGAAGGCTTATAGCCACCCACCAACCAACCTCAGTCTCCTGCAGAAGACGGCGCATTGTATGTTTCCTCTCTTGCTGCTTCCGTCGGTTGATGCAAACAATGATGATAAGCAAGAGGACCAGGGCAAGGGCAGCCCCCACCACTCCAGCTATGATGGAGGTAGCCTGGCTGAAAATGGGGGAAAGAGAGGAAAAATAAGTACGATAGTTTAAAAAGTAGGGTTGGGTCACCAATTCCTTTGAATGGAAGACAGCACTCAGGGCAATTTTATCTCCTCAGCCTTTGGGGCAAAGAGAAAAGCAAAGAGGATACACACAGAATTTTCACTCGTGATGTTTGAGAAATTCCATATGTCTCTGTGCCTTCTCCCTTTTCATGGTTTCAAATGCACATGGACAAAAATGCTAACTTGTTGCATGATTATTAATAAGTATATAGTAAGGATTATGAGCTAATAAGCTACTTAATACTGTCATGTTACTTTTCTAACTCTCCTGAGAATATTTCACAATTTGTCCATTTATTATTTTATGAGAACTCACAGCACACCCAAACGCTTTGTATATCTTAAGCAACAGCTCTGGAAGATTCTATGTGCAGACAAATAGACTCGGAACACACTTTCCTTTTCAAAAAAAATTTAAAAAACGAAAAGCTAAAGCTTTCCAGAATAGTTATATTCTGTTATGTCAGCTTCACTGGCTGCTAATCTGCTGCCGAGCACAATTTAAAGTGCTAGCTTTGGCCTATAAAGCCCTAAATGGTTTCAGCTCAGCTTACTTGCCTGAATGAATCTCCCTCTATGACCCACCTCAGAGATTAAGATAATCGGGGAGGCCCTGCTCTCGATCCCACTCTCCTTGCAAGCTTGGTTGACGGGGACAAGAGACAGAGTCTTCTCAATGGTGGTCCCCCAGCTGTGGAACTCCCTCCCTAATGAAATCAGATCAACCCCCTCCCTCCTATCCTTTAGGAAAAAACTTAAAACATGGTTGAGAGAACACGCATTCAAGCAGCAGACGCAGCAATAAAAATGATAATGATTTACTTGTCGGACAATAGACAGACCTGGATTATGACTGGAACTTGTGCAAGTTTAATTGGATATTTTTATATTTTATATCTTAACTATTTGTTTAAATGTAAACTGTTATTTTAATTTTCTTTGTTTGGGAATCTAATGGTTGCCGGTTGTGAGACCGCCTTGAGTCCACCTTTGAGAAGGACAGGATATAAATGTATGAAATAAATTATGTGCATTAGTGTGGTTTTTCTTCCCCTCAAATGCGTGCCATCAACCATTCCAAAGTTTGACACCTTCTAGGTGCTCACCTTCCCACTCACCAGCCAACATACACAATGGTCAAAAGCCTAGATCAAGCAAATGGAGGGCAAAGTTCACCCTGTATGATACTTTCTCCATGCCTAACTTACGTCTCTGTCTCTTTGTGTCTCTCTCTCTCTGTCTCTCTCTCCTCTTGTTGGTTTTTTTTTTTTTTGTATGAGGTGCAAAAAGGTTATTTCCTAGCCCTTTCCACCCTGTAAAAAATATCCTTCTCCTATTCCCTTTCCCTGAAACTGTCAAGCTCCAAGAGGGGCCACTTCTGTTGGTTCCCAATGTGGGGGAGTAGAGAGATAATTCAGGTATTAACAAACCAAATCATCACAACTTCAGAGGAGAAAGGAAATGGGTGTGCATTTACAGGTGGAGCATACCTTCCTCCTCTTTCACCTTGGAGTTAAATACTGTCTCCAAATTTTTCCAGTCCCTATTACAAACTATAGGAGCCACAGGGTGTTTCAAAGCTTGACAGATGCAGAGTTGGAAAAGACATCATCCAAACAACTACATAAAAAAGGCACGCACACATATGCCTCTAATAGTATTCCAGCCAATATGTCCCATTCATACTATCTTGATATATATATATAAAGAAGAAGTCCAATACCCAGGTTTCTGATCCACTGGGCAGCCTAATTCATCTCGGATTGCGCATCTGGAAAGAGAAACACACGTCATATAAAATAATCACCACATTAAGAAACTTTGGTTACAGCAAAAACAATCAGTGTAGGACACCATGACTGCCTCCAAAGCCCTATTTTCACAATTCACACTTGTTATAATTGTGCTCATTTTAATTTACCTTTCAGTATAATTAATTTTATTGGGTTGAAATGACCAATAAATACAGGCTGCCATCAACTACCAACTGTGTAGACCAAAAAGTATTAAGAATGAGGAAAGAAAGTCAACAATAAAAGAGATTGAGAATTAATGTTCCTTGTGAAGTTATAAACAACAGGCTGAAGGGTTTTCCAAAAGGCTTTGCTGGTCCACAGAGTAGGACTATGAGGCAGTTCCCTCCAACTCCCCAGAATATATCTCAATTTGCCAAATTGCTTCACTTTTCCTCTCTCAAAATGATAATCAGAAATGATACTTATTGTTGTCATTTTAAGAAGGAATCTAAGGAAAAAATAGAGGCATTATGGAAAAAGATTTGCTATTATCTATGTTTCCCATAGCCATGCACAGTCCGGGAATGTATCTCCCATAATGGGTCCATATTCCCTTGGTAACTTTGCCAGTTTTCTTTGAATGCCTAACATGTATTTCTAAATGCTGAACTGGAATTTTAAAGTATTGTAATGTTGAAAATTTTGGGGCTAAATAAAATGTTAACATGGGAGGGTCAGACTTCCCTCCTTCCCCTATGGCAGTATGTAACAAAATTGGGGAAATGTACTCCTGGTTTGAAAGTTATTTCCTGTTTAATGTGTGGTATTTACTTTGATACTTACTTTGAAAGTAGTTTTTATATTCCCAAAACTTTCTTTTTGTGGCTGCAACAAATGATGCTGAGCTCTATGAGATATTCATTGAAAAACTACAACAAAATGTGCTGCAGGGTGTCCCACAAAATTTTTTTTTGCTTTTTTTTTTGTTCATTGTATATTGCTCAATGCTGCATCATATAAGTTTGTTATTTGTTTAATATTGCATTATATAAGCTGGAAAAAAATTACCTTTGTGATTTATGTACTACGACTTGTAGTGGATTTGTGTTTGTTGTGATTGTGGGAATCCATTGTCTTTTGGGTTGGTGCTCATCTCCATTTCTAAGCTGAAGAGCCGGCATTGTCCACAGACACCTCCAAGGTCATGTGGCCAGCATGACTGCATGGAGTGCCGTTACCTTCTTGCCAAGGCGGTACCTATTGATCTACTCACATTTGCATGTTTTCAAACTGCTACGTTGGCAGAAGCTGGGGCTAATAGTGGGAGCTCACCCCACTTCCTGGATTCGAACCGCCAACCTTTCACTAAGCAAGTTCAGCAGCTCAGCGGTTTAACCTGCTGCACCACCAGGGGGCCTTTGGATAACATAAGATAGGGTTAACATCCCTGTGGAGTTTGTTTTGCTGCCTGTGCCTCTGTTCAGAAGGTTTCACTTCATTTTCTGTCACGGTGATAATTGGATTTCAAAAAATTGGCTTGTTATGGAAACAAGGATGGGTGAGAAAGGTATCCGGATGATAAGGTTATCCGCATGATAACTTTTCCAGGAATTAATTTCCCTTTCAAGGGGTGGATTTCTCCCATTTCCTGTTCTCTCACCGTCATTCTTAACTATCTATATAAGTAAAAATGTAATGTTCATTTGTGTGATTAACATAACTCAAAAATCACTGGACGAATTGACACGAAAATTGGACATAATACACCTAACAGTCCAACGAGTGTCCATCACTCATATACACACACGCACGCACGCATGCACGCACGCACACAAAACCCCAGCGGAACAGACTTAAAAACTCCAAAAATACACGGTATATACATATACACATACACTCATATACATATGCACATGCACACATTCATACACACACACATATACATATGCACAAACACACACGAATATACACATATACACACATACATATACATACACACATTTATACATATACACATGCACATATACATGCACACATACATATATGCATATACACATGCACACACATACATATCCATCTACATACATATATACACACAAATATGCATATAGACAAGCACACATACACAATATACAAGTACACATATAAACACACAAATACATACACATATATACACACATAAAACACAGACTGGGCCACAGCAACGCGTGGCAGGGGATGGCTAGTAAGTCATATGTAAGTTGGATGTTTGTAACTTGGGGACTGCCTGTGCTGGGAAAAAGAGGTCAGTTCTCATTTCTATTATAGATTAATTCTCGGGAGTTCTTCTTCTCCAGTTTCTACCTACTTTTAGTATAAGGTGCCAAGAACCCCTTAGGGCTGATCCCTATTACCACCTTAATCCTGCTAAAAACTCACGAATGTGTGCAGTTGATTGGACAGAACTGACAAAGGGCTTCATCATCAGCATATTTCCAGATGAGGACAAAAGAGTTGTCCATCTTCACACCGCTGGGACACCGCTCCACACAAGAAAGGCCATCTTTGTAATGAGCACAAGCCACACATTGATCTGCCTCCTAAAAAGGAAGAAAATTGGGTCAGGAAAGACTTTCCATTGGGTGCAATGGGAGTGAACACAATCTGATGTATTCAGACTAAATCTCAGCTAGTTTTACCATACAGGTTCACCAGGTGTTGACATGACCATAGACGGACATGAGCTACAAATCAGGAGAAACTCAGCTAACTTGATAGGAATCTAGGAATCTGGAGTCACCAAGTCTGGAGCTGTTGCAAAGTTGCCTCGGGAGCATAGTGCTGTTGTTATACATTTCATAACCTATGAAGGAAAAAAGTTGTGCAACTGGGATATGCAGCAATATTGTGGACTCTAAAGGCAGCCCACTGTTTCCAGTTAAAAAGTTAAGCTCACGTTGAACCTTCTCCCATTAAACACAACAATGCTTCAAAGTGTTTCCCTTTGGGTGGATCGTGTTTCCAATATCTGTAAGAAAAGCCTTCTTACTTCACTGCCTGAGAATGAGTCTTTCTCATTAAGCTTACACAACCTCGCCGATAACAGCCGAAGTCTTTACCCAAATGTCATTCTGTGCTCTTCCAAAAAAACAGACAACACAATGACTATATCAACCATCCCACGGCTGCTATATCAACCTTCCACAATGGGATGTCATCAAAATGTATTGACTATTGTTTATTATGACTGATATTTTACTCTTTTATATATACTTTTCTGAGCTCTGGAACTCAAGAAGGCTTAAAAATATTAGGACTGATACAGGCGTATGGTGAGTGCTGGGCAACAACTCTGGAGGGCAAGGTTTGAATGGGTGGCCTTGAGCAAGTCACACCCTCTCAGCCTCAGAGGGAAGGTAAAATAAATCTCCTCTGAACAAACCTTGCCAAGAAAAACCCAAGATCAGTTCACCTTAGGTTTGCCAAAAGCTGGGAACAACTTCATAGCATTCAACAACAACACTCACAAAACAAATAAAAGGAAAAAATATATAAACAATGAATCTGTAGTGATCAAACTATAATATCAAACTTACTTATTTAAGCGATCCCTCATTGTCTGAGTAGGATAGTCTTCCAAGATCTGATGGGTCTGTAGGTGACCGTGGAGCCCTATTCTTGATCTCAATCTTCTTCCTCAGTGAAAGCATTGGTTTCCAGGTGGGAGGCAGTCGGGGTTGGCTTGATGCGCCTTCCTCTTGGCACATTTTTCTCTTTCGCCCTGCTTTCGTGCCTCTTCAAATTCTACAGCACTGCTGGTCACAGCTGACCTCCAGCTGCAGTGCTCAAGGGCCAGAGCTTCCCAGTTCTCAGTGTCTATGCCAGAGTTTTTAAGGTTGGCTTTGAGACCATCTTTAAATCTCTTTTCCTGTCCACCAACATTTCGTTTTCCAGTCTTGAGTTCGGAATAGAGCAACTGCTTTGGGAGACGGTGGTCGGGCATCCGGACAACGTGACCAGTCCAGTGGAGTTGATGGCGGAGGACCATCGCTTCAATGCTGGTGGTCTTTGCTTCTTCCAGAACGCTGACATTTGTCCGCTTGTCTTCCCAAGAGATTTGCAGGATTTTCCAGAGGCAACGCTGATGGAATCATTCCAGGAGTTGCATGTGACATCTGTAGACAGTCTACGTCTAGCAGGCGTAAAGCAGGGTTGGGAGGACAATAGCTTTATAAACAAGCACCTTGGTATCCCTACAGATGTCCCAGTTCTCAAACACTCTCTGCTTCATTCGGAAAAAAACTGCACTCACAGAGCTCAGGCAGTGTTTTATTTCAGTGTCAACGTTGACTTTTGTGGAGAGGTGGCTGCCAAGGTAGCAGAAATGATCAACATTTTCTAATGTTACTCCATTAAGCTGTATTTTTGGCATTGGAGAGGGATTGGCTGGTGACTGCTGGAAGAGCACTTTGGTTTTCTCGATGTTCAATGACAGGCAGAGCTTCAAACTATCAGTCCTTTCAATTGACTCCCAACTTATAACAACTCTAAATCTTCTTGGCAAGGTTGATTCAAAGGAGGTTTGGTTCCTTTTGCGGAATCCGACACTCAAACTACAATGGCTCTTATCTAAACTATAAATAATAACTATTAAACTATAATTATCAACTATCAACTGAAAAAGCATGTAGTATAGTTTTGGAGAAATCACACATTTCCAACTCAGGAAGAAGACAATAGGAATCTGCTTTGAATGAATGTAAAACCCTAGGGCAGGGTGAAGGTAGGCTGAATTGACTTGAAAGCAGATAAAAATAACAGCAAAGATGACGTCTTAATGAGGATGAAACAATGGTGAAATAGTTAAGCCCCTGAAGACAGATACATGGACTCTACAATTACAGCTCTTTATAACTTTCAGCCTCCTTAGCCAGCATGACTAAGGGCTCTTCCATACAATCATATAACCCAGGATATCAAGGCAGATAATGCACAGTATTTGCTTTGAACTGGAATATCTGAGTCCACACTGCCAAAAAGTCCAAAAATGTGGATTTTATACAGCTGTGTGGAAGGGACCTAAGTCTGAAAAAGATAGTTCTAGATCAGGGGTTCCCAACCTGTGGTCCATGGACCACCAGTGGTCCGCAAGAACGAAAATATGATCTGCAGCCTCACATTACTACACCATTGCCTTGAAACCACACAATGAGTGACTAGTCTCATGAAATCCTCTTATACTGCCAAGACAATGGGTATATTTGGAGGGGGGGGGGAGAAGCTGACTACTGACAAAGAATTACTACTACCACATCAGCTCTAGATTATTAAATATGGTTTTTTGTGGGCGAGCAGATGGCGACTACTGGATGGAATATGTTCTGTATCAGAAACTAAAGCTGATGTGATTTATCCAATACATTTTTCTGAATCACCACTCCAAATATCCAAGCTGAATCTAAAGTTGACCAAAAGATTTGTAACCCTTTTGGTACTAATGGTGGAGAGTGGTCCATGATCAAAGTGGTCACTGGTCAAAAAAAATTATTGTGAACTACTGTTCTAGATAATAAAGACAGACCTGTTCTGACATAAATAGTGCAAGAAGATTGTTCTTTTCTCTTTTAACAGGTCTACAAGTTATACAAACTATAAACAAGTTTCCTTTCCTCTTGTACCTGAAAACGGAACATCTTGGCTGCTTTTGTTTCAACATTCACTTTTGTTTCAACACAAATGCCCAATCAAGTTCCAATTTTTTCTGTTGTAGAAGCAAAATCTCACATCCAGAATAACTACTTCTAAGTTATTTAAAAATAAACAAGCTTCTAGATTTCATGGCACTGAAAAAGAAAACCTGAAAAGATATTCATTTTCACCAGAGACCATTAGATTACATAATCCCTAATGGAAAAAAGGTAACGATTAAATTGTCTTATAATTTATATTGTCTTTGTTTTAAAATGGTGTCTACGCCTACTGTGTTTATGTTGCTGTCCTAAAGGCACTATATCCCTTCTGATCCTGAAAGCTAAGCAGCGTCAAGGTTTATATGTGCTTGGGTGGGAGACCACCAACGAATACAAGGTGCTGGAGGCTATATTCCAGAGGAAGGAACTGGCAAAACCACGTCTGAGTATTCCTCACCTTACAAAACTTTATGAAAAATGCATGGGGTCACCATAAGTCAATAGGTGACTTGAAGGTTTATACAAACACTACATTTATCACAGACGTAATCCAATAAGAGAGAGACAGAGATAAAGAAAGGATTCTTCTTCTAAAAATTAACCTACTATCTATATTTTTGATTATGTATATTTTCTGATTGATCCCGTGGAACGTTGTTTAGTTAACCATTATGTTGCAGTCCTTATGGTCACCAAACACAATGGAATCATGACAACAAGATACAAAAGGCAGAACACAGAAAAATAAAATAATCTATATAAATAAAAATGTAATGTTCGTTTGTGAGATTGACAGAACTCAAAAACCACTGGACGAATTGACACCTAATTTGCACATAAGACACCTAACAACCCAATGTATGTCCTTCACTCAAAAAATTTGATTTTTTCATTTGGGAGTTGTACTTGCTGGGATTGATAGTTCACCTACAATCAAAGAACATTCTGAACCCCACTAATGATGGAATTGAACCAAACTTGGCACACAGTTCTCTCATGACCAACAGAAAATACTGGAAGGGTTTGGTGGGCAGTGTCCTTTGGTTTTGGAGTTGTAGTTCACCTACATCCAGAAATCACTGTGGACTCAAAAAATGATGGATCTGGACCAAACTCTACAAGAATACTCAATATACCCAAATGTGAACACTGGTAGAGTTTGGGGAAAATAGAATCTTGACATTTGGGAGTTGTAGTGGATGGGATTTATAGTTCACCTACAATCACAGACTATTCTGAACCTCACCAACGATAGAATTGGGCCAAACCTCCCACACAGAACCCCCATGTGGACCACAGCAATGCGTGGCAAGGGATGGCTAGTCATAAAAATTTGAATATAACCATAAACCTACAGGTATAACTCAGTTAACAAGGGAATTATTTCTTTAACAAAAATCACAAAAGCACTTTTTCCTACATCACTAAAAAGAAGAGCAGCAACTTTTGCTTTAAGAACCAATCGTGGCTTTGCGAATGGTTCCAATAGCACTCACAGCAGATCCTCCAGCAAACATAGGCAGAAAAGGCAGTGTGGAAAGAATTCCTTGTTAGGAAAGCTCTAGAACCATATGGAAGTAGATGACAACCAACAATTGCTTGAAGTAACATTTTCAGCTTGTCAAGCATAATAACCATTTCTTTTTAGATTTTATGGGCGGGATTGCAAAACAGGCAAATAAGTGCATGCACCTCATAGCAAATGGTAGAAAAAGAAATATGGAATCATGAAAGTGTCAAAGTATAATAAAATATAACCTCGGTCCAGCCCTCCCACTGTCCCTGCCCTTACCGAGCCATTGCAGGACTCTGTTCCATTTTGGGGCATGCACTCTGGGTGGCAGGGAAAGCACCGTGTTCCACTGACGTATTCCCTGGTATCTCTGCAGGAAAATGTATTGGAAAATTAAATCAATCCACAAGGTAGCTAGTTTTACTTACTCTCCTCCCAGCGTCCTTTTGCAATTAGTTTTATACTTTATATTTTAGTGTGCTTTTTTCTGGGGTGTTGTATTTTATGTTTTTATTTTAATGTGTTTTGTTTTATGGATTGTTTTTGCTTGTATGTTTTGGGGACATTCTGTCCCATATGTAAGCCACCCCGAGTCCCTTTGGGGAGATGGTGGCGGGATATAAGAATAAAGTTGTTGTTGTTACACAGCATCACAGATTTCTGCAATCTGCAACCCGCTTGTGCAGTTCTCATCACTATAATTATCCAAAATGTTTTGGACCAGAGACTTGTTTAGACTGGGACTTTTTTCAGTTTTAGAATACTAACGGGTATATTTTCATATACCCAACATCCTAAGAAGATAAACATTTATTTGGGGGGGAGGGGGGGTTGGAATTACCAAGTTTCCAGATATTATTATGAATGAACAACCATCCCTGACCTGGCCAAACCCTGCATAAAATGCCCTCGGAAGCACTTTATTTTACCTGTTAGTGCAATTAAACCTCATTTCGTCCCTCGTATCCCGTCCAGATACATTACATTGCTTTCTYGCCCAGTATTTTAAACTTTTAATCTTTGCAACTGGCCCTGCCCACTGTGATCAACTTTCTGTGTTCAAATATTATGATTTTATATTGTTCTGATGTGTTTATTTATACTGTTTCTTGTATTTTATCTTATTTTCTTATATTTTATTGTTGTATTTTATGCTGTACATTTGYATTGTTGTATTGCTGGGCTTGGCCTCATGTAAGCCGCCCCAAGTCACCTTAGGGAGATAGTGGCAGGTTATATATAAAGTTTTTGTTGTTGTTGTTGTTGTTGTTGTTGTGGAACAGAGTAATTTTCTTCTGAACACCAAAGTAATCTCTTTCTACCCTGCCACAGTATTTTCCACCCCAATGTTAAGCAAACATGATTCCTGTTCCGGCTTCCCCTTTTGACATACCCATCCAGAATGTTGCAGGTCTCAACACATTCCTTTCCACGCAGAAAACCATTACAGGCCTTGCACTGAGTTGCCCCTGGTCCCCAGCAATGTCCATTGGAGCACAGTGGGAAACACACCTGACCTTGAAGTTCTGTGAAGAGAGAAGAGGAGGCAACTTTTATTTCATTATTATGCTTGCTAGCAGAGGAATTTCCTTTGAAAAGGGCAGAATTTAGTTCAAGGAAACATTTTATCCTTTAAAAAATATTTTATGATTAATATTTTTAAGAGATCAAAATAAAAAATAATTGGTTCAATAATAACCCCAATTATAACAGAAAGGAAATTTTTAAAAAAATTAAAAAGTAATGGATAAAAAGTTAAGGGGAAAAAATCTACACAAAATAGAAGATTGGATAAAGGTTGGAATGAAGAAGGAAATGATTATGGAAGAATTTAGAGAAATAAAATTGACATGGTTCCATTGTATACAATTAGAACAATGGTTTAAAAACTGGGTAAAAAATAATAAAAATGGAAGTAAGCTTAACCAATTCGAACAAATAATACAAAATGGAAGAGCACGTAAATTTGAAAGGATTAACTAGTACAGTATATAAGATAATAATTGAAATAAAGGAAGGAAAAACAAAAAAACAACATCCCCAAGGAGGTCTGGGAAGAAGATTTAGGGATAAAAATAAATGAAACAGAGTGGCAACAATTATGGCAACAAAGACATCTAAAAATGTATCAATATGGGTTAAAGAAAATTACTCGAAGTTAATATGGAAATGGTACCTAACACCAGTAAGAATAGCAAATATAAATAAAAACTACTCAAAAAATTGCTGGAGAGGATGCAAAGAATCAGGAACATATATACATATGTGGTGGCAATGTAAATATGTAAATAATTTTGGGGGAAAGTATTTAGAGAAATAGAAGATATAATGAACATTAAAATAGAAAGAAGTCCTAGTATAGCTTTATTATCATTATATAATAATATACAATTGAAAAAAGAGGATAAAGTTGCGATAACAAACTTATTAACAACAGCAAGACTGCTTATAGCAAAGAATTGGAAAAGAGAAATAAATATACAAATAGAGGAGTGGTACAAGGAAGTATGGAAATTGGCAATAAATGCTAAGTTGACATATACCGTATATACTCGAGTATAAGCCGACCCAAATATTAGCCGAGGCACCTAATTTTACCACAAAAAACTGGGAAAACTTATTGACTCGAGTATAAGCTGAGGGTGGGAAATGCAGCAGTTACTGGTAAATTTCAAAATAAAAATAGATATCAATAAAATTACATTAATTGTGACATCAGTAGGTTAAATGTTTTTGAATATTTACATAAAACTGTAATTTAAGATAAGACTGTCCAGCTCTGATTAAATCATTATTCTAATCTTCAGTGTAAATGTGCTTATGTATCCCTCCAATAACAATAAAGAGAGTAAATTAATAATAATAATAATAATAATAATAATAATAATAACGAAATCCAGCATATATACCTCATTTGCTATGTCAAACTGTGTTTTTGTGTCAGGATGTTAATAATAATAATAGAGTAAAATAATAGTACTGTAATAACAGTAAATGACAGAGTAAAATTATAAATACAGTAACAATAAAAATAAAGTAAAATAATAAATGTAATAATAATAAAGAGTAAATAAATAATAATACTAATAATAAATAGAGTAAAATAATAAATGTAATAAAATAATAATGTAGAGTAAAATAATGTAAATATAATAATAATAATAAATATATTAAAGTAATTCATGTAATAAAATGATACTAATAACAAAGTAAAGTAATAATTAACTTTGACTCGAGTATAAGCCGAGGGGAACGTTTTCAGCCTAAAAAGGGGGCTGAAAAACTAGGCTTATACTCGAGTATATACAGTATATTAAAAGTTAAAAGAGGTATATGGAAGCAAAGTGATTTTGATGATGTATGGAGAAAATTTATTGAAAAGGGATTTAAAAAAGAAAGAAGGGAAGTTACTTCCACAAGAAGAATTGAAATTTTGTACAGATGATATGTAAAAGCTGTGGCTTGGGAGGGGAGCACAGTGGTGAGGGATAGATAATATGTATAAGCAGAAAAATAACAGTAGATGCCAAAAGTTAAAGTATGGTAGGTTGTATCGAATAATATGTATCTGCTGTAAAATAAACAATGTAAAACAAATGTATTGAACTATGATAAAATAATAAAAATATTAAAATAATAAAATACGAACACACAAAAAACAACAACAAAAGATTAAAAATGTTTTCTAGAATAATACTATCACATCCTTATTTTTTTTAAAGCAAGTATAAACTACAAACAATCTACATTATCTAACTTAAGGGCTTTACGTTCTCTGCCTGGTTATATTCCCTAATTAGGGTAATCAATCAAAAGAGAGCCACATTGAGCAGGAAGCTGACAGCTTGGATAATGAGAGCCAGTACAGTGTAACGGTTTGAGTGTTGTAGTCCTGAAACTAAAAGCCTATTTCCTACTCAGTCAAGGAAATCCCTTGTGTAACCTTGGGCAAGTCATACTCTTAGCTTGAAATAGCAAGAAAATCCTGCAACAGAGTCATCATAAGTCAGAGCCCACTTGAGGGCACATAACAGCAACAGGCAAGGTAGTCTCCAAATGAGACTGAAATGACAATCAAATAAATCCTCTGAAGACAGATATAGGGACAGCATAGGTCTGGCAACTTCTACTGATGATTTAATGCATTGACTACAACTATGTTCCTTAGGGATAGTCACAATTTGGAAGTAGAACTTAATATGGCTCATTTAGGAGAAGTGGCTGGACAAAAGAAATATTAGGGATCTCAGCACCATGGCAGAATTACCAGTAAACGCCTCTTATGAAGACTCAAGGGTCTCTCTAGATCGGGGTCCTCAAACTTTTTAAAACAGAGGACCAGGTCACAGTCCCTCAAACTGTTGGAGTACCAGATTATCCTTTGAAAAAAACATGAATGAATTCCTATGCACATTGCACATATCTTATTTGTAGTGCAAAAAACCTTTAAAAAATACAATAATTAAAATGAAGAACAATTTTAACAAATATAAGCTTATTAGTATTTCAATGGGAAGTGTAGGCCTGCTTTTGACTGATGAGGTAGGATTGTTGTTGTTGTCATTATGTGCTTTCAAGTCATTTCAGACTTGAGCGAGGGCTGGGTAAATGACCTTGGAGGGCTGTATCTGGCCCTCGGGCCTTAGTTTGAGGACTCCTACTCTAGAGGCTTATGCTTCCAGTAAGAATATATTGAAAATTAGTCTGTTAAAAGACGTTAGGAAGGTGTTTGAAATGAAACACCATTGCAGGCAAGGGGTTGGACTGGATGAACCTTGTGGTCTCTCCCAACTATATGATTCTATCATTGGAAGAAGGGGCCAAATTCTTATTTAAACAGAAGCAATGCTTGAGGAGAACTTGGCCCATTCCTACACTTGGCCCATCACTTTATGTATCTTGTTCCCTGGCTCTACTCATTTCTGATACTGCAACCATGAAATAAGAAAACTCTTGCACTAATTGAATACTGGGAGTTTCAGACAGGAAAAGGTTCTCTATGCTACGTTTCAGGCTAGATTGACACAACAACCTCTCCACCCCAATGTCGTATTCAGCAAATAATGTGGTCATGTGAATAGTGGTCAATTGTAGATGGTAGGGAGTTTCATTCAGGTCAAATTTTGCAGCAAAGAGACCTAATTTCAAATTGAACTAATTCACAGTGTCTGGATTAATCTATATAAATAAAAATGTAATGTTCATTTGTAAGATTAACATAACTCAAAAACCACTGGATGAATTGAGACCAAATTTGGACACAATACACCAAACAGACCAATGAGTGACCACCACTCATCAAAACACTGGAAAACACAGCAGAAGAGACTTTAAAAGCAAAAAAAATACATTACAACGCATGCGCAAAAAATCACACACTCACACACATATATATACAACCAAACACACATGTATACACATATGCACAAATATATACACACATATACACATATACACAGACTGGGTCACAGCAACGCATGGCAGCGGACAGCTAGTCTATATAAATAAAAATGTAATGTTTGTTTGTGGGATTAACATGACTCAAAAACCACTGGACAAATTGCCACCAAATTTGGACACCTATCAGGCCAACAAGTGACCATCACTCAAAAAAACACTGAAAAACTCAGCAGAAGGGGCTTAAAAAGCCAAAAAAAGCAAAAAGATGCTATAGCACATGCACAAAAATTCCCCCTAGCAATCAAAACACACACTAGCATAGCTACACTCTCTTTTGGACTACAACTCCCATCATCCCCTGGACCAGGCCCTTTAGGAGAGGAGGATGATCCAAATGCACTGCTTCCAAGCTGCAAGTTTCTTCTCCTTGGATTTCTTTGAGAGCATCCCAATCCCTGCATATTTCCTATTCCTGGACTGCAACTCCCAGCAATCCTCCAGAGAGATAAGATAGATAGATGAATTAGATAGAGATAGGTAAGTAGGCAGATAGATTGATCAGGGGGACTGCTGGGAGTTGCAGTCCAAGAATAGGTAGAGAAGGAAGAAAGGGGAGAAAGAGGAAGGGAAAGAAAAGGGGGAAGGAAGGGAAGAGAAGGAAGAAAATTTTAAAAAAAGGGAAGGAGAGAAAGAAAGGAGGAGAGACAGAGGGAGGAAAGGTTGGCCACAGCAACACATGGTGGGTACAGCTAGTAAGTGGATAAGAATGGAGTTCCTCCATTCACAAACACTTACCAATATTATGCTGTTTTACATTCAAAACTCTTTAGAAAAATGTGTGCTTTAGAGAAAATTGTGTAGAAGAAGCCATATATTAGGGAGAAGTGCATACAAAAATATAATCTGAATTTTCATACTCTTTTTTTTTTTTAGAAAACATGAACTAATCTGGAAACAAACTGAACAGATGCGTAACTAAACTAATATGAAACAGACATGAATTAATACGCCAGTCCTTACCTGTCTCTATAATTTTTGGTTTCTGTTGTGGTTTGAGAGTCAAAAACACCCAACACCTAACACGTATGAAAACCACCTCACAATCTCTCATTTCTTTTTCTTCTTCTCCCTCCTGCAAATGCAGTCTGTTTACTAACCACAAGGGTTTGGACAAATGCCTTTGTCATCCAGCCAAAATGCTTCCCAGAACTGCTCCCATCATATCTACATTCCAAAATAATGGGGCTAAAAAAAGGCTTCTGGATCTTTGGAGATTCAGGAGTGGCATTTCTAGGTGCAGATTTATCATGCGCTCATGTAGCCACTTACCACACTGCTCAACTGGGCTGTTATCATTCTGGAACAGCGTCTGCCGCGGGTTTTTGAAGATCTCTCCCCATGGCACACTTTGGATGAAACACAGATTAGGGTTGTGGTGGACAAGGACCATCCCACTGCTGATCTCCTGCAGTGAACGCAGGCCAAGAGAGGAGATGTTGAGGTGCTGCAACGTTAGGGAATACGCTCCGCTGCCAAAAAGAAAAAGAAAAAAAGTCTCCCTCAATTAGAAAGGGCAAAGGAACAACACCTAAACAATCAGTGTCTATCCATCCCACCAAGCTAGATATTTACAAAACCACTAAGTGGCTTTACAGCACAACTTTCTATTTGATTGTATTTGAAAAAAACCTTCAACCACTTCACGAACGTTGATTAGAAAGAGAGACAGAAATAAATGAGTGGAATTATTTAGACATTTTGCCCTCATCTGGCCATTTCAATATGGCAAACTGCCATAATAAAGTTCCACTGTACTTGTTTCTGGTCATTTTCATGTATTATCATAGAATCATGGAGTTAGAAGAGACCTCATGGATCATCCAGTCCAACCCCCTGTCAAGAATCGTCATGTAAATATCTGATATGCAGGATGTATTTTCATTCACTGAACCAAATTTGGCACAAATACCCAATACGCCGAAATTTGAATACTGGTGGGGTTGGTAGGGGATCTGATTTTGTCATTTGGGAGTTGTAGTTGTTGGGATTTATAATTCACCTACAATCAAAGAGAATTCTGAACTCCACCAACGATGGAATTGAACCAAACTTGGCACACAGAACTCCCATGACCAACAGAAAATACTGGAAGGGTTTGGTGTGCGTTGACTTTGAGTTTTTGGAGTTGTAGTTCACCTACATTCAGAGAGCACAGTGGATTCAAATAATGATAGATCTGGACCAAACTTGGCACGAGTACTCAATGTGCCCAAATGTGAACACTGGTGGAGTTTGGGGAAAACAGACTTTGACATTTGGGAGTTGTAGTTGCTGGGGTTTATAGTTCACCTACAATCAAAGAACATTCTGGGCCTCACCAACAAAAGAATTGGGTCAAACTTCTCACACAGAACCCCCGTGAACAGCAGAAAATACTGTGTTTTTTATGGTCTTTGGCAACCCCTCTGACACCCCCAGGTTGAGAAACACTGCTCTAGCAGAATCAAAGTAATTCTGGTTTCAATTGTGAATGCTTCTGTGGCACCTCTAACACCAACTACCTGTGAAGGTCTTCTATTTGAGAGGAAGGAGCAATGTAAAGGTCTCCTAGGACTCCCTAAAAACCTTAAATGTTCCTGTGTTAAAGGTTGATCAGTGTATGGAAATTAAAAACGGTCTTATCCATTTGTTAAATCATATTATCTGAAAATTTGGGAGGAGGGGTTGCTCACACTGAGTCAATCAAAGTAGGCATGTTTTATGAATGCAGGAAAATATTTTCCCATTGGTGGCTACTAATATGTTCCTAACTGTGCTTGTCAGTAGACATAGCATTTACCTGTATTTGCTTGAAAAAAAATAGGCAAGGGGATAATACAAAGATGAACTCTTATTGTAATTTCTAGAGTCACAGTTTGGTCTCTTAGCTTGTGTGGTAAGAGATAAAATCCTGAAGGAGATCTTACTTGTAGAGGGCTCGACCTCGGATGATCTGAAGGTTCTGGAAGGGAGTCAAGTCTGAGAGAGTCTCTGGCCATGATTCAATGTAGAGGTAGCCTGCGAAAACACGACATTAGGTCCCTTCAATGAAACCTAGATCACAGTGTATTATGCTATCCCCATAAAATGGGAACAACCTTTTTGAATAGGATGGGGATACATTTGGAGCTACCCAGAAATAACTTCCTATATACCAGTGAGATCTTTCAGGTTCTCAAATATTTTAAGCTGCTGAGGATCCAAGGGTGGGGTATTCGTGTCAGGATCTCTGAACACAAAGGAAAGGAAGAGCATTAGAAAAACAAAAGGTGCATCCATGCAAACCTAAAACGTCTCCGCTATCCCTTTTTATTCTATGAGATTCTGAAGTCTTGTCTTTTATAGTAGGAGCTACTTTGATTCTACTCTTATTTATTTATTTGTTTGTTTGTTTATTTACCATATTTATATACCACCTTTCTCGGCCCGGAGACTACTCAGGGCGGTTTACAAATGGCAACATTCAATGCCCCCAATAACATAAAATATAATTAAAACATTAACATATAATATAAACCAAATAAAGACAATAAGGCCAATAAAGCATGAGTCCTCAATGTCTCATTACTAAAATCATTTTCCAGTTGCATTGTCTAATCATTCCATGGATCTAAAATAGCCTGTTACACTGCATCTGTGAATACTTGCTCAAAAAGCCAGGTTTTGACTCTCTTTTGATATACTAGGAGGGAGGGAGTCGATCTAATATCCCTAGGGAGGGTGTTCCATAGCCAAGGGGCCACTGTTGAAAAGGCCCTGTCTCTCGTTCCCGCCAGTCACATCTGAGAAGAAGGCAGGACCGAGAGCAGGGCCTCTCCAGATGATCTTAGAGAGCTAGATGGTTCATAAGGAGAGATGTGTTCGGACAGGTAAGCTTGGTCGAAATCGTTTAGAACTTTAAAGACTAAAGCCAGCACTTTGAATTGTGCCCGGTAGCAAACTGGCAGCCAGTGGAGTTGGCACAATAGAGGGGTTGTACGCTCCCTGAGCTACATGGGATTCATCAGCTCCCCTCCATCTTTCACCCATCAATCACTACCATTTCCATATAAACTGTTATTGACTAATCATTCATCTCCTTCATGCTTTTTTTGCTCCAAATTCCAGCTTAAACACCATTCCTTAATTCCAAATATGAGATAGAACTTGAACCTTAAAGAAGGTCTTCTAACTGGAAGGTTATCCAGCAGCAAAATAAATTTGCTAGAATGTGGTGCCACCTTTTGTTGCTCACTGTTCCCCGTTTTTCAAAAGAACTCATCACAAAGCAATACTTTAAAGAGTAACAGAACTACCTCCACTACTCTCACAGAGTCCCCTTCTAAAATCAGGCCATGTCTCATGTTCTAGCTACAGAAATGCAGCCCTGCAACCTGATACACTCTTCCACCCATCAAAGGCATATGCTTAGTCGCTCACCCTGCAAAGGTCTCAGGCAGAAAGGCTAAGCTGCCAAAAATCTTGGTGCAGCCGGCAAAGTGATGGATATTGGAGGCATTGACAGCACGAATCCCCTTTAAGGAGCCCATCCCCAAGCCATAGCAACCTAAAAAAACAGAAAGGTGTTGGAAAGGGAAACGGTGAGGCAGATCTGTGTACATCTGTAAGTGTCTGTCCTTAGATGTGTAGACATGTGAGTCATTAACCTTGCAGCTTTGGAACAAAACACCAGAAGGTAAAAGCTAAGTAATTCTTTCTTGGGTGCTGAACAAAAATCCTCGAGCCTGGCAAGCAGGCCAGCCAGATTGCTAAATATTTTAGATTCCTGAAATTGCTGCTAAATCACTGTGGACTGAGATTTGAGAAATCTAATTCTAATTTTCATTGAAACATGAAAGCAATTATCACTTTTCGCTGAGTATGATTGTCTCCCAGATCTAGAGTCTTGGTGGTTGGTATATAAGCGATTGTAGAAACTTATTCTGGATCCACATGGTCTTTCACACTGAGGACAAAGATTTCCAGAGGGAAGACAGCCCCAACAGGGTGACCATATAGCACTAATTGTCTCTTAGACTAATCTACTTTATTGAGCTGTTACGAGAAGAAAGTTGCAAGGAGGAAAGACAAATATTTCACCCTGAACTCCTTGGAAGCAAAATGGGATACTAATATAATTAGATAAAGGTAAAGGTTTCCCCCTGACATTAATTCCAATCGTCTCTGACTCATCTCCATTTCTAAGCCGAAGAGCCAGCATTGCCCATAGACACCTCCAAGGTCATGTGGCCGGCATGACTGCATGGAGTGCCGTTAATATAATTAGTATTGGTATGATGGTTTGGGGGCCCCTGGTGGCACAGTTGGTTAAACCACTGAGCTGCTGAACTTGCTGACCGAAAGGCTGGTGGTTCGAATCTGCAAGCGGGGTGAGCTCCCGCTGTTAAGTGCAGCTTCTGCCAACCTAACAGTTTAAAAACATGCAAATGTGAGTAGATCAATACTGCTTCTACAGGAAGGTAATGGCACTCCATGCAGTCATGCTGGCCACATGACCTTGGAGGTGTCTATGGACAATGCCAGCTCTTTGGCATACAAATGTATTTATTTATTTATTTATTTAAAAGTTTTCTATGCCGATCTTCTCATCTACAAGAGGGACTCAGATCCGGTTCACAACAAGTGTTCATATACAAAAATACAAACCACACAATGCATCATCATTACACAATTAAAAACATATTACAATACAACATCGTCATCATCACACTTAGATAGCCACATCGTCAAAGCATTCCTGGTCATAATTCACAGTTATTCATTCTCCTTCCATGTGGACCAAAGTTGACTCAGTTATCAAAGTCCGCATTCCATAGCCAAGTCTTTGTTAGCTTCCTGAACGTCAGGAGGGAGGGAGCAGTTCTAATCTCCTGTGGGAGGGAGTTCCAAAGCCGGGGAGCCACCATTGAGAAGGCCCTGTCTCTCGTCCCCACCAACCGCGATTGTGACAGTGGTGGGATCGAGAGCAGGGCCCCCCCAGAAGATGAAAATGAGCACCACCCCCCAGAATCGGACACGACTAGACTTAATATTAGGTTTGAGCATTGGATTACGACTTTGGAGACCAAGGTTTCAAATCCCCATTTGGCCATGCAAACCCACTGGGTGACTTTGGGTAAGCCACATTATTTAAGCCTCGGATGAAAGAAAAGACAACCTCCCTTCCCCTTTGAACAAATGCTACCAAGAAAAATTCCCTTTAGGGTTGCTATAAGTTGGAAATGATCAAAGGCACACAACAACATCAAAAATAAATATATTTCAAGGTAAGAAATTTCAAATAATGCAAGAATAATAAAAATAGTCAGGTAGCAGAAGACAGTCAAAAGAAATTGCCTGAGATCTCACTCTGAGAGAGAGGCAGGATAGAATTTCAACAAGCAAAACAAAATAAATAAACCTTTAAAAATGTGGGTTGGTTTCAAACATTTGTTGCAGCACATTTTCTTCATATCCTCTGCAAGCACAGATACTCTAGGAATTCGCAAGCACAAAGATTATTGGTACCCAATGTGATTAAAAGGTAACTGCATCATGGGCAACTGTATCGAACGGAAAACAGCTTTTCAACCCATGATCAAGCCAGTCCAGGCTCTTACCTTCTGGGCAGGGCTTGGTGCACTTTTCACACTTCTGCATGGTACCCACACGCACTTCCTGGCTATTCTGAGGACATACCAAAGTGCAAGAACCCACCTCTGCAGCCAGGTAATTATCTGTAATTAGAGTGAGGGGAACAAGTTAAATTCTACATTCTCCATTGCAATGGCTTCCAATCTATATAAAGAAAAATGTAATGTTCGTTTGTGGGATTAACAGAACTCAAAAACCACTGGATGTAATGACACCAAATTTGGACACAAGACACCTAACAACCCAATGTATGTCCTTCACTCAAAAAAATGGGAGTTGTAGTTGCTGGGACTTATAGTTCACCTACAATCAAAGATCATCCTGAACCCCACCAACAATGGAATTGTTGGTACACAGTTCTCACATGACCAACAGAAAATACTGAAATGGTTTGGTGGGCAGTGTCCTTTGGTTTTGGAGTTGTAGTTCACCTACATCCAGATATCACTGTGCACTCAAACAATGGTGGATCTGGACCAAACTCTACACAAATACTCAATATAGCCAAATGTGAACACTGGTGGTGTTTGGGGAAAATAGAATCTTGACATTTGGGAGTTGCTGGGATTTATAGTTCACTTATAATCACAGAGCATTCTGAACTTCTACAATATAATTGGGCCAAACCTCCCACACAGAACCCCCATGCGGGCGACAGCAACGCATGGCAGTGGACGGCTAGTTTGTCTCTAAATTTCAAAAACAGTCTCAGTTAAGAATAGCACTTCTCCTCTGAGTCAATGCCTGGAGGAGATAATAGTTTGGACGAAGAAAGATAAATCGAAGCAGAACCCAGGAAAGATGGAGGTGTTTACTGTCCAGGGTTCTAACCTGAATTTGGAGCTGTGTCACCTAGTCCTAGATGAGGTTATACTCCACCTGAAAGCCTTTCAAATATCCTGGACCCAAATCACATAGAGCTTTGTAGGTCAACACCAACACCCAGAATAATGAGCCTGTCAGAAATTTCAGCTCTTCAGAGGAAGCCCAACTGCATTTCTCAACATCTCGTGAAATAAGGTTGGGCTTTCTCTGTAGCATCACCTCAACCATGAAATTCCCTTCTCAAGGAAGTCAGGCAGGTTCAGCCCAACCAGTGCTGTCCTGCATGGCATTCAGTGTTTAAAAGTGATTTTAACATTTTTGAAATTGGACTCTACGTTTATTTTTAGAATACTTTTAGGAATTTTAAAGAGTATTGTAGTGTGTTTTAGAAATGTTTTTATCTCAATAATGTTTTAACTGGTATTTATTTATGTGGCGTAACTACCATACATACTCGAATATAAGCCGATCCGAATATAAGCCAAAGCACCCAATTTAACATAAAAAAACTGGGAAAACATATTTACTCGAGTATAAGCCAAGGGTGGGAAATGCAGCAGCTACTGGTCAATTTCAAAATAAACATAGGTACCAATATAATTACATTAATTGAGGCATCAGTACATTAAATGTTTTTAAATATTTACATAGAATTATAATATAAGATAAGACTGTCCAACTCTGATTAAACCATTATTCTCACCTTCTTCAAGGTAAATGTGCTTACGTATCCTTCCAATAATAGAGTAAAATAATAAATGCAATAATAACAATAATAGAGTAAAACAATAAATGTAATAATAACAATAATAAAGTAAAATAATAAATGTAATAATAATAATAGAGTAAAATAATAAATATAGCAATAATGAATAGAGTAAAATAATAAATGTAATAATAATAATAATAATAACAACAACAACAACAACAGAATAAAATAATAAATAACCCTGACTATAATAAATAACCTTGAGTATAAGCCGAGGGGGACTTTTTAAGCCTTAAAAAGGGGCTGAAAAACTAGGCTTATACTCGAGTATATACAGTAATTTGTATTTTGTTAGGTCTTCCTAGCTCATATATATCACATATTTTCATTCACACAGTCATTACATGAAGTTAACTACATGTGGAATGTATATTGTATCACAACCTGAATAGAGCCACTGTTTGGTGAAATGGTTATTCATCCCAGAGAGCACTACTCAGGTTTGTGTATCTGAGAGACACCTAAAAACGTTCAAGAGAACGTTTGAATCCAGACAAGACAAAGGTGCTCCTGGTCAGTCGAAAGGTCGAACAGGGCATAGGGTTACAGCCTATGTTGGATGGGGTTACAACTCCCCCTGAAGATGCAGGCTTGCAGCTTGGGAGTGATCCTGGACTCACCACTGAGCCTGGAACCCCAGGTTTTGGTGGTAGCCAGGAGAGCTTTTGCACAATTAAAACTTGTGCGCCAGCTGCACACATACCTTGGGAAGTTTGATCTGGCCATGCTCTTGTTACATCCCGAATAGACTACTGCAACGCACTCTACGTGGGGCTGCCTTTGAAGACTGCCCGGAAACTTCAGTTAGTCCAATGCTCGGCAGCCAGGCTGCTCACTGGAGTGGCGTACAAGGGGCACACAACTCCTCTGTTACGCTGATCAGCTTTCAAGCACAATTCAAAGTGCTGGTTTTAATCTTTAAAGCCCTAAACCAGAGGTCCTCAAACTTTTTAAACAGAGGGCCAGGTCACAATCCCTCAAACTGTTGCAGGGCCGGATTATAATTTGAAAAAAAACCCATGAATGAATTCCTATGCACACTGCGCATATCTTATTTGTAGTGCAAAAAACACTTAAAACAATACAATAATTAAAATGAAGAACAATTTTAACAAATATAAACTTAGTAGTATTTCAATGGGAAGTGTGACCTGCTTTTGGCTGAAGAGATAGGATTGCTGTTGTTGTTGTTGTTGTGTGCATTGAGGTAGTTTCAGACTTAAGTTGACCCTGAGTGAGGGCCAGGTAAATCACTTCGGAGGTCCATATCTGGCCCCAGGGCCTTAGTTTGAGGACCCCTGCCCTAAACGGTTCTGGCCCAGACTACCTGTCCGAACATATCTCCTGGTACGAACCATCACCAAACTTAAGATCATCTGGGGAGGCCCTGCTCTCGATCCCACCGACATCACAAACGCAACTGGTGGGGACGAGGGACAGGGCCTTCTCATCAGTGGCCCCCCGCCTGTGGAACATCAGAGTGGCCACCTCCCTCCTGTCTTTTAGAAGGAAAATCAAGACCTGGCTATGGGACCAAGCATTCGGTCAGTGAGCAGCAAGCGAAAGAAGATTTTGGCACTTATGGCAATGATTTGACCCAGACTGGATTTTGGATTGGCACCATTAATGTGGGTTGGCACCATTTTTAATAGGCGTGTGTTAATCGTTTTAACTACTGTTTTAATATTTTGAATGTACAGTTGATTATTTTATTATGATGACACAAATGGTACTTTTGTGAGGCTGCCCTGAGTCCCCCCTCTGGGGTGAGAAGGGCGGGGTATAAATATGGGAAATAAATAGATAAATAATAAATAAGACAGTAAAAAATCACATGGAACAATCCTTTCAAGATGACAGAGCCTTACAAGGGCATTCGGTGACACAAGTTGCTCCAAAGGTATAGCGCCCATGGATATTGGCCATTGATTCATAGGTGTCTGGATTGTAGATGATGAGTGGCGGGCAATGGAGTTCACAGACCCCACTGTGATTGAAGTTCAAACAGGCCTGGGCAAAGAGAAAGGAAAAGAGTTTACAACACACATCATTCTTAGAAGAAGCATAAACAACATTCAAGGGGTCACATTCTAGTTGGCAAGGAGTAAAAGCAGCAAAATCTGTGACTCCACACAGATGATGAATGAGTTATATATGCTGATCAACCTTTGTAGGTATGAATTGATATTTTAATGGCACACCTTGTAAAATGTATTACACAATTTTCCATCTTCTGAGTAGTAAGTAGCTCCATGGCAGCACTCCAAAGCCACTTTCTTTTGTAGAGAGCACTGGAGACTTAAACTGCTTCTGCAATATTCTACACTGTAGAATTAATGTGGGTTGGCACCATTTTAACTGCCATGGCTCAGTGCTATGAGATCATGGGAATTGTTGTTTTACCACATCTTCAGCTGACACTAAAGTGCCATCAAACAACATATTCCAGCATTCCATAAGAGTACTACAGCACAGATGTATGTCATGGGAGGCCATGCAAATGCAGAATATAGTGATACCTTGACTTAAGAGCTTAACTTGTCTGATTTCTTAAATCAAAACACTCTTATCTCAAAATGAAATTCCCATTAAATGCATCAAAATACTAATGATCTGTTCTGCCCCTCCCCCCCATTTTTGTTACATGTTTTTAAATAAGAAAATGTACTTTATAAATAACAAATAATGTATAAATGCACATTCACACGGAACAATAAAAAAGATCAACTTTAAAATGGTAGAAGCACAAAGCTGTGGCAAGGAAGCACATTTGAGGAAACAAAATGTGTAATAGCAAAAGAAAACCTGCACATTCACATGGAACAAAAAAAGATCAACTTTAAAATGATAGAAGCACAAAATTCTGGCACAGTGGTGGAAGCACAAAGTTGTGGTAAGGACGCACAAACTATGAAGTGAAGAGGCAGAAGCATCATTTTCTTCATACTGTACTCATTTTAACCTCCCTCCCTCTCTTGCTCTCTCTCCCTCTTACTCTTCATGAAGTCAAACATACAAGGAATAAAAACCACACAAAACCAACTAACCCAAATTCCTCAAAGTGGACAAGAGCAATCTACCAATACTAAAGTGGACTAGAGGCACGGAGGCTGCTCCTTTGAAGCCGTAAAGCCCTGCACTCTGGTGCAAGCACTTCCTCTGGCACTAGTGCTACCTCTTAACTCAAAACACAGCTCATATGTCAAAGCAAAACCAATATCATGGAGTGTTCTTAAGTTGAGGTTCCACTGCATATGAAAGGTCAATGTGTTGTGGCATAGTGGTCTGGGTGTTCAACTAGGATTTCAGAAGATGAAGCTTCAAAAATCTGCTCACTAATGGAAACCCAAATCATACTCTCTCAGCGTCAGAGGAAGGCAAACCTCTTCTGAATAAATCTTGCTTTTTTTAAAAAAAAACCATATGTTGGAGGCTCATAGCAATACTAAGAGAACCCTAGGTCCTTTGGATGTTGTGGACTGCAGCTCTCATGGTCACTTACCATTGACCATGCTAGTTGGGCTACAAAAGGTATAGGCAAAAATAACTGAAGAGGTTCCCAACCGCTGGTTTAGTCCAAGGTGGTGAGCCACTCCTGATGCTGTCAACAGATCTCCAGAAAGTGGTCCTCCCAGTCTTTTAAGCCTCAAAACTAATTACAGTTAGAATTCCCCAGCTTGTACTCTTTCTTTTTCTCCTTTCTCTCCTTCTCTCACACTCACTCCTAGCAAAGGACTCATTCATCTCACAATGTGCTCTTGAAGGTGAACTGCCCATTCAAGAAAAACATTTAGCAACTTTGATGAAAGGTTAATGGATCACTCTGGGCTATTAGTCAGGCAATTGGCTGAACAAAGAGATGTCCTTGGCAACTGGTAACACCATTTTTTTCCTACAGGGTAGGAATCCGAAAAGCCAGTCAGTTCTAAGTTTCAACAAAGACCTCATCAAAAATGAAGAGGAAAAGAGGAAAGATGTGATCTAGCAGCACTTTCAAGACTGACTTACCCACTTCATCAGCTACACTGACTGAATAATTCAAAGTCTTAGGTATACTAGAGTCACATAGCTGTGTGATGTGCATTCAGGATTAATCCAGAATATAGTTAGCAATCACCCATTTTGTGCAGTTGTGGACCCAGCTAAAATTAACATTAGAAAATGTTGATCATTTTGGTAGCCAGCTCTCCACAAATGTCAACATTCACACTGAAATACAACACTGCCTTAGCTCTGCGAGTGCAGCTTTCTTCTAAATGAAGCAGAGAGTGTTTAAGGACTGGGACATCCGTAGGGATACCAAGGTGCTTGTTTATAAAGCTATTGTCCTGCCAACCCTGCTATACACCTGTGAGACGTGGACTGTCTACAGACATCACATGCAAACTCCTGGAACAATTCCATCAACGCTGCCTCTGGAAAATCCTGAAAATCKCTTGGGAAGAAAAGCGGACAAATGTCMGCATGCTGGAAGAAGCAAAGACCACYAGCATTGAAGCGATGGTCCTCCACCATCAACTCCGCTGGACTGGCCACGTTGTCCAGATGCCCCACCACTGTCTCCCAAAGCAGTTGCTCTACTCCGAACTCAAGAACGGAGAACGGAATGTTGGTGGACAGRAAAAGAAATTTAAAGATGGGCTCAAAGCCAACTTTAAAAACTCTGGCATAGACTCTGAGAACTGGRAAGCCCTGGTTCTTGAGTGCTCCAGCTGTGACCAGCAGTGCTGTAGAATTTGAAGAGGCACAAATGGAAGGCGAAAGAGAGAAACATGCCAAGAGGAAGGCGCATCGAGCCAACCCCGAGYGAGACCGCCTTCCACCTGGAAACCAATGCCCTCACTGCAGGAGAAGATGCAGACCCACCGCCAGTGCACTGATCTTGGAGGACTATTATCCTCGGACAACGAGGGAACGCCTAAGTAAGTAAGTCATGAGCTACACTGACTGAATAATTCAAAGCCATAGGTATACTTGAGTCACATAGCTGTGTGATGTGTGTTCAGGATTGATCCAGAATATAGTCAAAGTTAGCAATCACCCATTTTGTGCTGGTGTGGACCCAGCTCTCTTTTGCCTTGGCTCTGCTCCCTTCCACCATAAGATCCACAGGAACTGGCAACCTGTTTTGTGAATGAAAAATAACCATCACAGTAGTCTTTAGGGGACCATATACCTCAAAAGGTGCACACTCACCAGGCAGTCTGAATGCTTGGGTCCTGTGCAGCCCGCCGCACACCGCTCATGGCAACAATCTGTCGGGCGCCTGCCCTTGCACCTGGCACAGCTGCTGGCACAGATTGTGCTTGTCACTAGCAAGGGGCAAAAAAGTATTTTAAAATAATAATAATAATAATAATTTTAGATAAGATACAATACAGCAAAATAAAGTGCAAAATACAACAACAAAAATTACAGCACAATAACATACAGTGGCAAAATAAAGTAAACAAAGCAAAATAGCATAATAGAAAATCAAATACAATGGGCAGCTCAAATGGACAAGATAAAATGATAAAACCCTGGATGAGGTAGGAGTAGGAAAAAAAGTGTATTTGAGAGGAGCCCAAAAAGGACAAACAGTACAGTTAGGCCTTCAATTTAGGACGGGGGAAAGTGCATCATAAGGACAACGCTGTAGATGGAACAGACAGAAATGGGATGAATGGTCACTCTCCAAAGGCACAACGGAAGAGCCAAATTTTCAGATGTTTCTCAAAGGCCATCTGAAATAGTGACCTTCAATTCTTGAAGCATCGGCTCTCCAATTGTCAGATCCCACGTGCACTGGCACATTTCAGTACAACTTTTCCCCAGACAACAACAACAACAACAACAACACTTTATTTATATTCTGCCCTTCTCACCCCAAAGGGAACTCAGGGTGGATCACAGGACACATACACAGGGTGGATCACAGGCACACATTCATTGCCGTTTTGTATAGATAATACAGAGAGAGACAAAACAAGGTGTGTTGTTGTTTCGACTCTATGTCCCAAGCAACCCCAACTTACATGTCTGGCAGCTCCCTTTGGCTTCTCCCCAGCAGTGGCCATTGGGGCAGATTTGGCTGCAGTCAGGGCCTGGTATGGAGAGAAAACAGAGACCATCTTAAAGCAATGGATTCCTACTTAAGAGGTAGATACATGCAAAACTTGGAAATGATATAGAGATTGGGAAAGTTCCTCTTTAAAAACTATCGCTCTCAGAATATCCCTCTGGCAGCTCAAGGACAAAAAAAAATCTAAACTTGAGTCTGGGATGTGCTGGCTTGGTAAACTGCAGGTGTGAGCGATGAAGATTATACATTAGGGCTGGGCGGTTTCGTTCGTTAATTTCGTAATTCGTTAATAATTCGTATTTAAAGTGGCTTACGATCCGATATTGAACCATTCAGGAGCAACTAAAAAACGAAACGAATTTTTAAAATTTATTTCGTAATTGTTTCGAATTGTTTCGTTATTATTTCGTTATTATTTCCGTATGTCTGGTGCAAGTTTTATAGTTGTTGTTTGTTTTATCAGTGATAAAAAAATAAATTATCACACCAACAGTCAACAACAGAGGGAGAGGGAAGCTTCAGAAGTTCCCCCTGTCCCATTTGGAGGGTTTTTTAGCGTATTGCGCAATCGCGTCCGCCATTAACGAATCGATTCGTTATTGTTTCGAAAAATTGTTTCGTAATTTCCGAAATTTCGTAAATATCGAACTTTTTTAAAGAAAAATTTCGGAATTCTTTTAAAAAACGAAACTCAAAAACCCCCTAAAAATGAATCGAGTTTAGAAACAATTTTTTCCGTGGTTGCCCAGCCCTAATATACATACATTCTGGGAATGCATAATCATAGTTAGGAAAAGCTATTTTTGGACTACAACTCCCCAAATTCCCCAGAATATACAGCAGGAATGGACAAACTTCAGCTATCCAGGTGTTTTGGACTTAATAATAATAACTTTATTTTTATACCCCACCTCCATCTCCCTGAAGAGACTCGGGGCAGCTTACATGGGGCCAAGCCCAACAGTACAGTTAAAACATAACATATTAAAATGCAGATCAACAAAATAATAACAAAAAACACAATATAACGAAATAAAACAACAACTTTAAACATTATATCAAACAAACTTCAAAAACCAACAATCAATAGCAAAATTCATTGTCTTGTCATGGGTGGGTGGACTGGTGCCACAATATTAGAGGATAGCGCTAATGAGTAAAGTGCAAATATCATATAGCAACAATGAGGATAAGAATGATTTACCATTAAGGATTTGGATGTAACAATTGTAAAGTGCTTGAGGACAAGATTTTTGGGGGGGGGGGTACTAACCGGGGCTAGCTGCCCAGGGAATTGCCTAGTCAAAAGCACAGCGGAACATTCACATCTTTATATCTTTGCAGAAGGTGAACAGGTAAAATGCTAGCCTGATCTCCCTGGGGAGAGTCTTCCGGAACCGGGGGGCCACAACTGAGAAGGCCCTCTCTCCTGTCCCCACCAGCCGGAGGTGGAAGCGAAAGAAGAGCCTCCCCAGAGGATCTGAAAGAGCATATGTGTTCGTTTTAGGAAGATGGAGTCGTGAAGATAGGCAGGTCCCAAACCATTTAGAGCTTTATAGGTGATGACCTGCACCTTGAATTGGGACCAGAAATGTATCGGCAGCCAGTGGACCTGTTTAAACTAGGGAGTTGACCGCTCCCTGTAGTTTGCTCCAGTTTCCGGACCATCTTCAGGGGCAGCAGCACGTAAAGTGCACTACAGTAATCCAACCCTTAGGTAACTAAGGCATGGACCACCATGGTCAAGTCAGACTTCTCGAGGTATGGTCACAGGTGGCACACAAGTTTTAGGTGGAAAGGAGTAGTAGAGTTGCATGTCATCTGCGTAGCCTGTTAGGAATGGTGAGAGTTGAAGTCCAAAACACCTGGAGGGCCGAATTTTGCCCATGCCTGCAATATAGTCTCTAAAAAAGTATGTTTTCCATGCAAAAATGATGTAACTTCCTGACCATATTTGCTTGCTGGCTTTTTCTTTCTTTCTTTCATAAAAATATGCTTCGGGCCCCTGTGATTTCTGTGACAAACTTAAAAGCGTGCGGCCTGATTCTGCTGAAGTCTTAAATATCAAAGAGGTAGTTGAATAAGACCATCACCAGCCCTATGCGCCTCCTTGGTCTTACTCATGCCTGGCAAACCCAGAGCAAGTCAGGCAAATCAGAAAACGTGGCAAAATTAATTATGTAAACATTGAGGAAAATTATGCAATTATTACAGATTATGTAGGAGGAGCGACCCTAATTTCCCTGGTACAGTAAGTGTGCTGTTTGGACCCAGCCCACACAGAGCCCTTATGGCAGAATGATGTCATCTAAGGCTATAAACAGGGAATTTCCAAAATGATGGAAGCAGAGATGCGGCTGATTTAGATAACGTGAATGAGGCAGCAGGGGCCATCCAGAAACTGTGGGAGGAAATGGATTGATATGAATAGTGAACAGCATGTTCATCCAATCAAAGGGTGCACACAGATCACAGAGACAAAGGGACAAACAAACTGCAATCCTGTGAGCAGCTAAAAGAGAGTATTCTAAAGACATCAAATTTTCATCTGTTGATTTCGGTTTCTAGCCCTTAAGACTCTGAAAATGGATTTGAAACAGATGGGCAATGCAAAGATTGGAAAGGTTGCTTTTAGGGAATTCATTCCAAATCAAAAAAGTAATGTTTCCAAGGTCTGGGACAGTGCCTCCAACTCCAAAAAGTAGAAAACCAGGAGCCACAGCTTGTGGCTTCAGTAGCCAATCAAAATATTTTCTTTCCATAGCAATCTAGAAGAGAATGTTGCTTAGAACAAGCAAATGCAGTCGTCCTGACATTTATGGTTTTGACTTTTGCAATGTTTGTTCACGGATTTATTTATTTATTTATCCCACCCATATCAGCCCGAAGGCGACTCGGGGCGGCATACAAATCGGCAAAAATTAGATGCCATATAAAAAAATACATATATCGGTTAAAACAGTGGTTCTCAACCTGGGGTCCCCAGATGTTTTTGGCCTTCAACTTCCAGAAATCCTAACAGGTGGTAAACTGGCTGGAATTTCTGGGACTTGTAGGCCAAAAACATCTGGGGACCCCAGGTTGAGAACCACTGGGTTAAAAGCAAAAAATCCACATCACAATACATTTAAAAACCATAAAAGCAATAAACAATAAAATTATAAAAAACTATGTCTTCTTGTTCAATTCCTCAACCGTTCCATCATCTTAGCTGTTCCTAGTTCATATGCCAATTTGAGTTTATCTGGTCATGCTGAAGTTCCAAACGCTTGCTCAAAGAGCCATTTTTCACTCTTTTTCGAAAGGTCAGGGGGGAGGGGGCCGATCTAATATCTCTAGGCAGGGAATTCCACAGCCAAGGGCCCACCACAGAGAAGGCCCTGTCTCGTCCCCGCCAGACGTGCCTGTGAAGCAGGCGGGATCGAGACCAGCGCCACCTCAGATGATCTCAAGTTCCTGGAAAGTTCATCGGGAGAGATGCGTTCGGATAGATAAGCTTGGCCGGAACCGTTTAGGATTTGATTTACAATGTTCTCCTTAAGAATCTCTAGGTCCTTCAGTGTGATTCTGCAGTGAATTTCCTCCAGTCATGTTGGAGCCCCCGGTGGCGCAGTGGGTTAAACCCCTGTGCCGGCAGGACTGAAGACTGGCAGGTCACAAATTCGAATCCGGGGAGATTTAGATGAGTTCCCTCTATCAGCTTCAGCTCCTCATGTGGGGACATGAGAGAAGCCTCCCACAAGGATGATAAAAACATCATATCATCTGGGTGTCCCCTGGGCAACGTCCTTGCAGACGGCCAATTCTCTCACACCAGAAGCGACTTGCAGTTTCTCAGGTCGCTCCTGACATGACAAAAAAAATGTTGGAGGACCCAGAGATTTCTAGTGAGAACAGGTCATCTAATGCAATTATATGGTCAGCTTCCAGCAGAAATTGGCCAGAGTTGTGTTGGACCACCTATAAAGCTGTTCTCTCAAATACCTGTGCCCTTCACCCCTGCAAATGTGGAGGACTGACAGTATATGGCAATGTGTACCACATGCATAACATAATTTTAATATATCTGCCCAGTTCATCTTATTTTTTAAAGGAAAACTAGAATCTTTAATTTCATTCAAACAACAGTAGAAGGAATTTTACTGATGTAATGTGCTCCTGGTAACCCAATCTCCTAAATTACAAATTTAGGCCCCTTCCACACTGCCCTGTATCTCAGGATCGGATCCCAGATTATCTGTTTATTTCAGATTATCTGGCAATGCGTAAATTTATATAATCCAGTTCCAAGCAAGTAATCTGGGAGCAGATTCTGGGATATAGGACAATGTAGAAGGGGCCACAGAATTCTGGTAGCCCAGAACCCAAACAATGACGCTTACATGGCCGAAGTCGCTGGCTACTGATCTCTGTGTCATTTTGCTTGTTGTCTTTATGGAAGATGGCATCCCAATAGATGGTTTCCTGGAAACACAGTTGTGGGTTCCTTTTAACAATCACACTGCCTTTCAAGATTTCTGTAAAGAACAAAGATAAAGGCAGCAAAGAACAAAACACATCAGTGCTTTGGCATTTTTTTTGTTTTGGCTTCTTAGACAATGCCTTGTATAATCTATTAATCCACCTTGAAATTCAACAGTTCTCGATTGAGCCACAATAAATACAGAACAATGCTGTTAGCATGTCTACAGTACAAACTCTACTCACCAATCCACTGGCTGAGCAGGAATTAGACTCAAAACTGGGAAACATTGTTTTGCCTATAGTTCTTGGAATTCTGCAAGAACTGTAGGCAAAACAATATTTCCCAAATGCTTTTTCCTACACAGAATGCTGTTCCTTGCACACAAAATGCTGTATCCTGAAAAAAAAAATGCTGTTTCTCTATGCAAAACAACCACATGCAAATTTTGCATAGGATAAATCCCAAACTGTGAAGATTCCCATCAGTCTAGGATTTTTCTTTTCAGGGTTTTTCATACTTGAAAAACATGTTTTTCAACTCTTGCAAATATTTAAAAATATTGTTTTTATCTCTATGCAGATACCAACCCAACCTCATCAAAGCCAATTGTTCTTTTTTCTGAAATATTGCCCAGCCCCACTCTTCATACCTGTCAGTTTCAACATGCCCAGTTCCCGCAGTCCTACATTCCCACTGTGGTCGGCATTGTCAAGGATGGCCAGTGCATACTTGTCCTCATATAGCTGGGTCCCACGAATGATGATGAGGTTCTCCAGATGCAAGTTAAGCACATTATTCTTGGCAATCAGCACATATCCCTGGACCTCTCTAATGTCCTGAGAGAGAAAGAACATTATCAAGATAAGAGCAAAAAACACAAGGAACCCTTGTTTCAGAAGATGGAAATTATGAGCTTTATTTATTTATAAGCCAATCCAAGAGCCTTTGCAGCTGAAGAGCAGTGCATATTGCTCTTAATATATTTTTTTTAATCCTAGAACCGGAAGGGATCACAAGTGCTATCTAGTTCAACTCTCTGCCATGCAGGAATATGCAACTGTTCCAAACAGAAGCACATCAAACCTCTGCTTGAAGGTCTACAAAGAAAGTGAGCCTGCCATCTTACAAGACAGTCTATACCAGTGCTTCTCAACCTGGGGTCCCCAGATGTTTTTGGCCTACAATTCCCAGAAATCCCAGCCAGTTTACCAGCTGTTAGGATTTCTGGGAGTTGAAGGCCAAAAACATCTGGGGACCCCAGGTTGAGAACTACTGGTCAATACTGCTGTCAAATAGGTCTTACAGTAAATAAGTTATTGCAGATATTTAGGTGGAATACCTTTTCTTGCAATTTGAATCTGCTAGTTTGTGTTCTCATCTCTGGAGCAGCTCAAAACAAGCTTGTTAGATCTTAGAGATGACATCCCTCCAAAAATTTAAAGATAGCTATCTTTTTATTTTCTCATTGTGTTCCATTTGTTTTAATTATATTATGCACTTCCTTTTACAAGTTCACTGGAGGGCCCCATCTTGTTGGTTGGATGCTTTATTTGTAATAACAATGGGTTTTTTTAAAAAAAATTGTATAATACATAGAAACATACAATCTTTGAAATTAACGGTCAAAATACCAGTACTTTCCCCAATCCCACCACCACCACAACCCCATCCCCCCCCCCCACCAACCCAGGAATAGTTACCTAACTATTTTGTTGTGTTTATTACAATTGTTCAATCATGAGGAGAGTCTTATTTAACACCACATATTTATCTTTATTTATCTGTATATTTATCTATATATTTATATAGGGAAGGCTGAGCAAAGGAAGATAGATGCTTTTGAACTGTGGTGTTGGAGGGAAGTTCTGAGAGTGCCTTGGACAGCGAGAAGATCCCATCAGTCCATACTTCAAGAAATAAAGCCTGACTGCTCATTGGAGGGAAGGATATTAGAGGCCAAGATGAAGTACTTTGGCTTCTCATCCAGATGAACTACCTAAGACAAATGTTTACCTGAGCAAAAACAAAAGCAACCCAGCATGCTGCAAGCACAGAACAGACATATCACGTTTGCATAGTTCAGTGAACATAGGATTGCTTCCGTAGCAACACCTGTAGCTCTGGTAACCTCAGGCATTCTACACATTTGGAAGCTATCAAGCTATGTCAATAATTTACTTTAGATAATTTTAATAAAAGTACAACAGAACAGAGTACGGTGTACAACAATAACAAATTAAAACAACAACAGCTCTGTCAACCGATAGTATAACCCTAATAATATTACAGTACAGTAGTATAGTACAATAAAGTAATACATAATACTATTGTTCTGTGCTAAAAATATATTGTATACACATATATAACCCTAATAATATTACAGTACAGTAGTATAGTACAATATAGTAATACATAATACTAGTGTTCTGTGCTAAAAATATATTGTATGCACATATAATATTGATAATATAATGTAATACACTATAATACTACTACTAATAATACAATATAATAATTATATATTTTATGTTACATGTAATATTATTAATAATATTACAGTATAGTGCTATAGTACAATATAGTAATATATAATACTAATATTGTGCTCTGCCAATAATATAACATATTGTATGTACATATAACTTGTAAACCGCTCTGAGTCCCCTTCGGGGTGAGAAGGACGGCATATAAATGTCGTAAATAAATAAAATAAATAAATAGTAAAAGTCAAAATGTCCTCAGGTTCAAAATGGGATTAGCGGTTTTGTAGTAGCTTGGGGGGAAAAGAGGAAAATTTGTTTTGCTTGGAAACTAAGTTATAGCATGAAATGCACTAGGAAAAGTAGAGGTATTCCAATACCAAGGAGCTATCAGTGAAAGACCATCTTGGATTGTTACCCATGACAGTTCTGGCTGTGGTGGCCCCAAAGGAAAGTTTCGAATAATAATCACAAAATTGGATAGTTTTGTTACAGCAAACTATCCAATTTTGTGATTATTATTTGATACGTTCCTTTGGGACCACTACAGCCAAAACTGTCAATGGGTAACGATCCAAGATGGTCTTTCACTGATATAGAGCTCTGATGTGACGAATGAAAACAAGCGATGACCTGCAAAATATCAGAACATGAGTATAGCAGTCCCTGACTTACATCCAATTCATAGTTACAAATGGGGATGAGACAACGCGAAGAAAGAAATCTGCTCCTAGGAAGGGAAAATCACTCTTGTAGGAGATACCATAGTAAAAGGGTATCTCTGCTGAAGCTTTATCACTAATCCTTGTTTTCACAACAAGCCATTTTTTTTTCAAAATCCAATTATCACAGGGACAGAAAGTGAGATGAAATCTTCTGAACAAGGGCACAGATAGCAAAACAAACACCTCAGGGGTTTTAACTCTTCCCTATGCCATCCAAAACTTGCATATAATATACATGGCTGTAGTTACACTTAAAAATGTACCTGTTCCAACTTACAAACAAATTCAGCATAAGAATAAACCTACAAAATGTAACTTGAAGACTTCCTGTGTCTGGGATCTAGGCTCTAAAAAGCTTTAATTATGACAATCTAAAGTCATATACTCTATAAAGTTACTGGTTATTCCTAAAATTCCCAGTAACATCAATTACAACAAATGCTATTGATATGCTATTTTTTTTTTCTTTAGCCGACTGTTAGGTATGGCCAAGCACGGAATCTTGTTGTGAACTTTCCCATTATTCCCTTCCACCTCCTGCTACCAAAATCTTCAGGTTGTAAAAACAACTCCTAGAATCTCCTAGTCAGCCGGTCCAATGGGCATGGTCGCTGGAGGAATTCCAGAAAAGGTGAACCTAAAACATAATGTTTCCAATCTTTGCGACATCCGAAACTGTCATTCTAGGTATTGTACTGCAAACACGTTGCAAAAAGGGTACCTGAAGAACAAACCACTCCTGATGGGGCTCATGCAAGCAGGCCAATCTACATTCTCTAGAAGATAGTTTTGAAAACATGTTTCCACTTGTTATATTCATTTTCTCAAAAAGAAAAAAGGGGGAAAAAAGAAAGAAATAGGAATGGGATCTAAAGCTTTCCTTTTCAGGACAATTGTATGAGACAAATCACAATGGTTTGTCATTTTGCAGAAGTAAACTCAGGCAAAAATATGGATGGATGGCTCAGGGTCAGTCCAAGAAGAGGTAATCCAATTGGAAAACTTATGGATCCAAATGTAAATGTCAAAAATTAAAATTCCACCACCCCAGTTTCCAACCCAACAAGTAGATATCCACTGTGGTCAAGGCCCAAGTCTGGAAAAAATACTTATTTGTAATATGGCAATGCTAGCCAGGGAATTCTGAGAGCTGTTATCCAAAGCTCAGTCAAATTTCTACCCACCAAGAAAGCCCTGCTCATTGCTGGCATGATCATGTTACCCAACCTTTTCCATGTGTGATGGTTCTACTGTTGGAGGGGCAAAATCATGAGCTGTAAGGAATAATTGGATTCCCCAGTCTTACTGGGATGTACAACTCCAAAAAAAATCAAACACAGACAATGTACCCATCTGCCCTGTTTCTTCGTTCTCTCATTTCTATGTTATATGTTATTGATTTAGATATGTGATTTTATATGTGTGTGTGTGTGTGTGTGTCATTGAATTTGCCATTTATTATGTTGTAAACCGTTTTGAGTCCTCCCAGGGATGAGAAAAGCGGTATAGAAATGAAATTCATCATCATCATCATCATCACCATCATCCAGACTGACAAAAGTTTTGGAACACAATACACCAGACATCACGATTGTGGAAAAGAAAAAAGTCTGGATTATTGATGTTGCCATACCAGGTGGCAGTCGCATTGAGGAAAAACAACAGGAAAAACTCAGCCGCTATCAAGACCTCAAAATCGAACTGCAAAGGCTCTGGCATAAACCAGTCCAGGTGGTCCCAATGGTCATTGGCGCATTGGGTGCCGTGCCAAAAGATCTCAGCCGGCATTTGGAAACAATACACATTGACAAAATCACAATCTGTCAACTGCAAAAGGCCTCCTTACTTGGATCTGCGTGCATCATTTGAAAATACATCACACAGTCCTAGATGCTTGGGAAGTGTTCGACTTGTGATTTTGTGATACGAAATCCAGCATAGAGATCTCATTTGCTGTGACATACTGTACTTTTGTGTCAGAATAACAATAATAATAATTTCTCACAAAAAATAGAGAATACTGTAACTATCTTGAGAATCTGCCTTTACTTCCCACATCATACTTACCTTAAGGAAGGAAGTATCTGCATTTGCTGGTAGGTGTGTGATCTCCAGGTTGCCTTGCACAACTTGACAATATTCATAGAGCCGGCGGAGGGTGGCATGGTGGTTTTCTGGGCTGGAGGGAAGTTGCAGCTTCATATCAGTCCCTGTGCAGACTAGGGATAAAAAGAAAGGGAGATTCAGATTCAGATGACTGACAGATTCTCTAAAAGTATGCCAACAGCAAAATAGCCCATATTCAAAGTTGCGGTGTCATCACACTGGATTTCTGTGCACCTTCCCTGTCAGCGCATCTGGGAATGAGTACTATAGTACTTGAAAACGGGTGAAATAGATCAACCAGGTGTTGTCAGCTATATACAACTTCAGTATCAATGAGAGGAAAAGAAATCATTGTTGGGTAAACACAATATAATTGCTGGACACTACTATGTGGAACATGAGCCAGAGAGTGTCATTGTGCTTGTGTCCTACATATGGGCTTTCTTTAGAGATAAGGCAACTGATTCATCACTATGAGAACAGACCATTGGACTAGACAGGCACTTCAATCTTGAAATGAATGAAAATACACATGGGCAATCACTACCAAAATCTTAAGAGGCAAAATCTTAAGAGACTGCGAGTGATCAGGCTTCAGCATCCTATGAAACTTTCCATCTTTCTGTATAATTATCCAAAGAATATGGTACATTTACATATGCAAAATGGGTACACTATTACATATACTACAGAATTCCATTTTCAAGGGCTTGATTATTTTTCTGTGTACTACCCTTTACCCAGTACAGAAAATCACTACAAGTCTCTCTTATCTGAAATTTTGGAACCAGAAGTGTTTTGGATTGTCTTTCAGGGTTTTGGACGACTTGCAATGGAATCCAGGTCCGATCACAGAATTCGTGTACATTTCATATGCATATAGCTGGAAGTCATTTTATACACAATTTTGAAAATAATTTAATCAATGAAAAAATTGAATTGAAAAAAATTGAATACAGTGTTCTCTCGCTACTTCACAGCTCGCTTTTAGCAGACTACCTGTTTTGCGGTTTTTCAATGAATATTAATTTAAAACATATATTGCGGTATTTTTGCTGTTTTGCGAGTTTTTGCCACCACCACTCTCTGAGGTGCTTTCCCTCCTCAGTCCTCCCTCCCTCCAACCTTGAAGGGCCCTTCCTTCCTTTCCTTCGCTCTCTCTCTCTCTCGCTTCACCCAGGGAAGAAAAAGGAGAGGAGGGCTTGCTTCCTTTCCTTCCTTAGAAGCCACCACACTGATAGGGAGATGGGGGGGGGGGAGCCATGGGGGTGGGGAGGAGAGGAGGAGGAAGAAGAGGAGGAGGAAAAGGAGGAGGAGTACTCAGTAAAACAGAAACAGAGTGTATTTTAAGTTTATAAAGACTTTTAAAAGTGTATAACTACTAAAATAATGTATAAATATTAAAACAATATTAAAATAAATATAGCATCCCTACTTCGTGGATTTTCACTTATCGCGGCTGGTCCTGGAATGTAACACCAGCGATAATTGAGGGAACGCTGCACACAAAATCATCAGAAAGCAAAAGTATCACCATCTCAGTATTTTGGAATTCTAGATAAAGCATGCTCAATCTATATAAATAAAAATGTAGTGTTCATTTGTGGGATTAACATAACTCAACAACCACTGGATGAATTGACACCAAATTTGGACACAATACTACTAACAGACCAACGAGTGACCATCACTCATAACCCTCCCCCATAAAAACAGCGGAAAGGACTTAAAACCCCCAAAAGCTAAATGACGATACAGAAAAAAGGGAAGAAAGAGGGAGGGCAAGAAGGGGAGAAAGAAAGAAAGAAGCATTGAAGCAACGAGCGAAGGAAGGAAGGAAAGAGGTACAGAAGGAAGAAAGGAGAGAAAGAAGAAGGAAAAGAAAAAGGGAAGGAGGGAGGAAAGAGGTAGAGAAGGAGGTAGAGAAGGAAAAAGGGGGAAGAAAAGAAAGAGGGAAGGAAGGATGGAAGCAAAAAGCAAAGGAAGGAAGGAAGGAAAGAGGTAGAGTAGGAAAAAAGAGAGAAGGGGGGAGGAAAAAAGGGGGGAGGAAGGAAAGAGGTAGAGAAGGAAGGAAGGAGAGAAGGAAGAGGGAAAGGAGAGAAAGAGGGAGGGAAGGTTGGCCACAGCAACATGTGGCGGGTACATTTAGTCTATAATAAAAGGTGAAAAATAAAATTGTGCCCTGCATGTATTAGAATCCAGTAAGAGATAGGCTGCTCTACTTACAAATTCATGTAACCCTAATTCAGAATGTGTATGGTGTGTATGGAGTATGATTCAGTGTGTGGTGTGGATATGTACGTATGGCAAGCAAGTTCAAGGAGTTAATTCATCCCTTTTGTTGGAGGACACAGCTTTTCCAGCTGTGTGCCTTTAAGCTGCCAAGGAGGAGGTAGAACTCCATCAGGTGACATTCCCTCTGCAACATCCCAATGTGGGAGAGATAAAACAGACAGAGGAAGATAGAAATTTCATATGTTGGCTTCAACTAAGCAAAGTGGAGAAAGGATTTTGGAGTCGAGATTTCAGCACAAAACTTATTCCCAGAGCCTGGAATCCATCCAAGTCTTTCCAAACCAGACAGGAACTTCTCAGAACGTTTCAGAAATCCTGATACTTCCTGTGCTTCCCCCTTTCCAGTTTCCAAAGCCAATGTGCATTCATGAGCCCACGTACAGCCACTGCCTCAATAAAACCATCCTCCAGATTCCTGGCATCAGATATAACATAGAAGTATCCGTTTCCATAGGAAATGCCGGGCTCTCATTTTAACCCAATAGCTCATTTCAATAACTTCCCATAGATTTCCTGTATCACCCCCGGTTGGTGTAATAAACCCAGCAGCTTCTTTGTATAGAATGGCCACTCCCCCACATGGGCCTTGAATCACAATCATTTGGGACAATGCGACATTTATGGACCCATGGATGGACTGCTTTTAAAATTGCTTCATTGTAAGCTAATGTTTTCTGGTATTTTTAAAAATCTGAGTAAACAAATTTGGAACTTTATTAAAATGCATTCCAAATAGAAAACAAATCTATAAATCAAGGATTTGGATTTCCTGACTTGTTGTTTCATTGCAGCTTTTTACTTCCAAAAACTACTTGTCTCATTCAGCTTCGTTCACAGGTTGCTGCCTTGGGCCCTGTCCCTTCTCACCTAGACCACAAAATCTCTTGCCTTTCATCAACAGCTCACTAGTGATAAGACATTGTCCTTTTTCTCCTTCTTCCCCATGATGATGTACCTGGAGTTCTAAAATACCTCCTTTCAGTCTAACTAAAACTTAGTTGGTTAGGGTTAGAGTTATCCCTCCCAATGAAGGCATGCATTCCTAGGTGTGCTCGCCTGAAGTCAATCCAGCCCTTGGGTCACAAAATGTTCCCCAACCATAAATCTTGAAATGAACGAAAATTTGAAATCCCTCAGATAAAAGTACAATATAAATCCCCCCCTCCCCCACAACAGATGAGGGATCAGCACCTCTGACGAAGTGTCCTCTTTTCGAATCATTTAGGAACACTTCTACTCATGGAGTAAAATCTGGAAGTAACTGGGATAAAAAGGGGGGTGACTTTTGGAGAAAGTGTGGCAGAATCAGGTTAACAGGGTGCACTTAAAACTCTATTCCATCCAAAAAATGGGCACCTTTGCATGACTGTATATCCCTGCAATCATGGAAAACACGCAACTTCCTTCCCATCCCCCTGTGTGGATTGCTCCAGTTACAGGTGCACATTTTAAAAGCCCTAAACTGCTGATCAGGCTATAAAAAATGGAGCCATGGACAAACAAGTGGCTAAAGGGAAGCACAATTGGAAAGCAATTAGAACTGTATTGTCGAAGCCTTTCATGGCTAGAATCACTAGGTTCTTGTGGGTTTTTTCGGGTTATAGGGCCATGTTCTAGAGGCATTTCTCCGGACGTTTTGCCTGCATCTATGGCTAGCATCCTCAGAGGTAGTGAGGTCTGTTGGAATTAGGAAAATGGGTTTATATATCTGTGGAATGACTGGGGTGGGGCAAAGAGCTCTCTGCTGGAGCTAGGTGTGAATGTTTCAACTGACCACCTTCATTAGCATTTGAAGGCCTGGCTGAGCCTGGGAAAATATTTAGTTGAGAGGTGTTAAGATGTAACTGGTTGTTTCCTCTCTGCTGTTTTGCTGTTGTAATTTTAGAGTTACCAGTATTAAAACTCTAAAATTACAACAGCAAAACAGCAGAGAGGAAACAACCAGGCACATCTTAACACCTCTCAACAAAAGATTTTCCCAAGCTCAGCCAGGCCTTCAAATGCTAATGAAGGTGGTCAGTTGAAACATTCACACCTAGCTCCAGCAGAGAAGAGCTCTTTGCCCCACCCCAGCCATTCCACAGATATATAAACCCATTGTCCTAATTCCAACAGACCTCACTACCTCTGAGGATGCTAGCCATAGATGCAGGCGAAACGTCAGGAGAAATGCCTCTAGAACATGGCCCTATAGCCCGAAAAAACCTACAAGAACCTAGCAATTAGAACTCTCTGCAACCACTTATTTATTTCCTATAATATTAAACAAAGCATGAAATTAACAGTTGGGTGAAGAGAGAGATAAGAAATCTGCTTGTACATTAAGATATATGCATGCGTGCATAGGAGGTTCAGCACATGTTGTAGAGATTTTTTTTTTTTAAAAAAAACCTTCTGCCCTATGTCCTCCATCTTGATCTACTTCAAAGGAAGATGTGGGGATGGCAGGGGCCCATTTCCTGGCACTGATAGGTCTGGGTATGGACTTGCTGTCAGGTCTCGGGATTTTTTGCCCCACTTTTAAAAGTGACAATTTGGTGCTGTCTTGAAGCATCCTAGGTCTACCAGTGATTCTATAGAAGCTTGTGTCTTGGAGGAAAGTGCAATCTCCTAGAAAAGATACCTCTCTGGGAATTTGGGTTGCTACTACAGCTGATGTCTTTTTTTCAATAGAGTTTGCTATTATTCATAGTTTCCCATTTCCATGGTAACTTTAGGACTGTATCCCCTGCGGATATGGGGGCGTACTGTATAACAATTCAGCATGTACTCTTAAAAGTCATAATACATCTTGAGCATGTGTTCTCTTAATCAAGAG